GTGTGTGTGTGTGTGTGTGTGTGTGTGTGTGTGTGTGTGAGAGAGAGAGTAGGGACTGAACCCAGGACTATCACACTGAGCTTCATCCCCAGCCCTTTTTTTATTTTTTATTTTGAGACAGGATCTTGCTAATTGCCTGGGCTGGGCTCAAACTTTTGATGCTGCTGCCTCAGCCTCCTAGAGTGCTAGGATTAAGGGCTTGCACCACTGTGCCCCACTGACAGCTCTATTCTTGATAGTCTCTCAGGCCAGAATGGAAACACCCTAAGGTTAAATTCTGGGGCAGAGGCATCTTTGTACCTCACTGGGGGCCAGTACACAGCCATTGGAGAAAATGACCTGAAATTAACTTGTGTGTCTCTTGCAGTTTGACCTTCAGCAGGCATACATCTACTGTGACCCAGAGCTTGTGCTAGAAGAGGGCTGTTGTGAGATTTTACCAGGAGGGGTGAGTGCCTGGCCCTAGCATGACTGGGGGTGGGGGGAGAGGGAGTGGGGGTACTGTCTAATGGCACAATTTTCTGGAGATCGGGGAGGGGGATCTGGAAACAGGTGTGTGGAGTCTTGGGATGAATCTGCCTCTGTACTGATTACAGCCCTTCCCTCACCCTGAGCAGTGCCCCCCAGAGACCTCTAAGGCCCGCCGGGACACCCAGAGTAATGAGCTCATCGAGATCAATCCTCAGACAGAGGGGAAGGTCTACACCCGCTGCTTCTGCTTGGAAGAGCCTCAAAACAGCAAGGTGGGCAGGCAGGCCAGGCACAAGAGATTGCCCCTCCCTGACCTTACTGAGATCTGCTACCAAAACCAGCTGGCCATGTGCCCAGGGAAGGAAGAGCACTGAATGCCCCATCCATTTACATTTAGGGAGGCAGAGAGATAGCCCACAGGACCCTGTGCCTGGTCACCTATGGCACTGAGAGTTATGCCCATCTGGCTCTGGCACTACCCCACTGATCCCACCTAGACCTTTCTCATGAGGGCAGCACCAGGCTTGGAACAAAGGCAACTTCTCCAGGCAGGGACACCTGGAGTCAGAGGCCAGGTTGCTGTTTCCCCCAGAGCTCGCTCACTTGTGCAGCACCATGGCCAGCTGCCCTGTCCCTGGTCTCCTGTTCTTTGGAGGTGGCAGGGTAACCCACTTCCTCCCTTAGCCCCACCCCCTGGCTGGGAGGCTCCCTGCCCACTGGGCACCATGCCCAGCCTCTGGCTGCAGGAACACAGGATCCCATTGATTCACAGCCTTGTTTTCTCCGACATCACATGGGAGGGAAGAAAAGAAGGGGTGCCTGTGAGGTTGTCTAGGGGTCTGAGCAGTCTTCTAATGTCCCAGGAGGTAACACATGCCAGGCTGAGGGGGTATCTGGGTCCACATGTACTCTGCCTCAGTGTCCCATTCCAGCATGGGTCCCAGAACTGCCCCTCCTCTGTGTTTCCTTTTGCTCTGTGTGCCAGGTGGATGCCAAGCTGATGGGAAGAACCAGCCAGAAGGCAGAAAAGGGAACAAAGGTAGAGATGATAGGTGGGAGGAGGAGCTGGTGACACCCTTGGTCTTCCCTGTATGTCCTCCATAAGCCTCTTGGAGAAGGCTGTCCTCTCCCACTCTCTTCCTGCCTGGACAAAGCCCAGTCTGCATGGTGCCAGCTCTGAGCAGGAGAGACAGACAGGGCGGGACAGACACAGGACTTAGCACTCTCTAGAGAGCCAGCTCCCACAAGCCTACTCCTGCTGGCTCTTGGGCAGGGATTTTGGTGCAGTGCTTTGCTTGATCCTTGAGTTCTCTGCCCTCTCTTGTGCGCCCATTTTCCCAGGTCCTTCGGGAATCAGCAGTTGATGAGGTGAGCTCCCAGTCTGGACTGGCCAAGGGGCTTGGTTAGGGGAGTACCAGCATCAACACTTTGGACAAGACTTTGGGTCATAGGCCCTGGGAATGGGGGTGATAGATGACTACTCAGCTCCCTCCATACCTTGGGGGCCTGACACTGGGCCCTATCTGTTTGGAGGACTCTTGCTGAGTTGTCAGCCAATGGCCATGGGCATCATGGGGAGAGCCCAGACCTTGGCCTTGGAACTCCTAAATTCTGATCTGTACTCTGCCCTGACATGCTGTGTGACCCTGGACCCACTACTATTCCTCTCTGGGCTTCGGTTTTCTCACCTAGCATATGGCTGTGGGTACAAGTTAGTGGGAAATGAGGAGTGAGACTTGTTTTCTAGGGTTCCTATCTTCATGCATTTCTCCAGTCACACCCAGGACTTGTGTGATGCTCTTTGGCTTGGTGTGCGTGTACGTGTATGTTTGTGTATGTGTTGGGCAGGATGAGGGTGGAAGGCTGATCCCAGGGGCTGAGAACTGATGCTTGTTCTTCCTTCTCAGTGCCCACCCTGTGTCCACGGCACCCAGGAGAGCAATGTGAGTGAAGGGGGAGCGAGCAGGCTGGGGTGGGTGAGGGCTCAGAGTGGATGTTGCCTGGAATTGGCTGGACAGCTTCCTGGTTGAGGACAAGGGGGTCTTTGTGCACTTTCACACCCCTCCCTGCTGGGCTCCCAGAGCGGGGTTTGACCCCACCCCCATGTCCGCCCAGCCAGGGCTGCCTGGAAGATGCCTCCTGGCCTGTGAGGGGTGGGGAGTCGGGGTGGAAGGGGCACCGCATGGTGGCCATCCTGTGGGATCAGGGCTTTGGCTACTAACCCAAGCTCTGTACTCTCCACATGATCTCAGGTCTGCTGGGCCTGGAAGGTTTTACATGGCACCTGCTGGGCCAGAGATGAAGAATGGCTGGCTTGGGGTTACCCGGCCCAAGACTGGCTCCCAAAGCCACACACTACCTCAGAGCTGAGCAGAATCCCCTCTTCTCCTCAATAGCTGGCCCCGGTCCTGCCTCCCTCTGGGGGTCTGGAAGGACAAGGGAGAGGGGTGCAGTGTGAACCAGCTGATACCCAACTGTGCCCCTTCTGTGGGCAGTGTGAGTCACTGCTCTCTGGTGGCCTGTGCTCTGAGCTGACAGGCCACATTGGTCCATGAGGGGCACAAACCCAGCTACCCTCACCTCCATGCCCCCTGACTGTGGGGGACATTGGGAAGTAACCCCTCTGGTGCCTGTCCCTCTATAGATCTAGTTTCCCACAAAATCTGGTAAGGCTGATGGTCCCTAGAGATGCAGGAATTACCATGGCAACTGAGCAGCCATGTTAGCCTAGCAACTGGAGGTGGGGCTAGCCAAAGCCAGTCAGGTTAGAGAAAGTACACAAGACCCCTCTGTGGATTTTACAGCCTTAGGAAATAGAGTCAGCATGCTGGTTGGCCTGGAAAGCAAGACAGGTGGCAGGCTATTGGCCCTCCTAACATGCTGTGTGACCTTGGATGAAATTCTTGCCCTCTCTGGGTCCTTGATTTCCTCTCCCTTTTTGAGGTGTAATGCCTTCCTCTGTCCCCTCAGGTAACACTTGGTCCTTCTGGCTCCAAGGTGAGTCTTGAGAGAAAACAGGACACTCCTGCCCTCTTTGCTAGCTCCAGCCCATCCTATACTACATGGCTCTGTGGTTGTGTTTCTATCAGGACTACTTGAGTGTGTGTGAGTGTGGAGCGATTAAAGGTGTGTGTGTTGGAGAGAGCAGAGGGTTATGTGTATACAGAGATGTTAAGAGCTGCCCTTTTCTAAGGCCTTACTATGTAGCAGACTCTGGACCACACAAGTGCATATCGTTTACCTTCCTGTTCCCCCTTGACACTTATCCTGTGGGGAAACTGAGGTGCTACTGTGCCCACATGGAAGTGTCAAACTGACTGTGTGGGTGAGGCTGTGTGCATCTCTGGGATCCGTGTGTGTGTGGCCCATGGGTGACGGTTGAACTCATATCCCTGTGAGCCTAATGGGGCTGCAGAGCTTGTGTGCTGTAGGGAAGCAGTGTGCAATAGGCAGATTCCAGCCATGGTTGAGGGCTCATGAGTTTGTAGAATGACTCTCCCAGCCACAGTGATGGAGTGCTGACTGCGTGCCAGCCTCTGTGCCAGCACCTTGCCTGGAGCACCCCATTTCTTCCTTACCATAACCCCTTGAAGTGGGGGCTGACATGAGCACCACTTTACTGATGAGGAAACTGAGGCTCAGAGAGATGAGGTGACTTGCCCTAAGTCACATGGTAGCAGGTACCAAAATTGAGTTCAGGCAGTCTGACACTTGGCTGTCATGAGCTTCTGCTATCTCGTGTGTGTCTCTGCACAGGAGTCCAGGTTGCTCTGAATGTGCTGCATGTGAGCTGAAGTCGAAGCCTATGGGTGTGGGGGAGGGGATACCCTCTGCGTGAGACTGGATCTGCCAAATGTAGCCTTTTGGGGTGTATGGATGGTGTATGGATGGTGTGTGGATGGTGTGGATGGGATCCATGTGCTGTGCGTGGTGGGGGTGGGGGTGGGACCGGACACTCTGTGTGTGTGTGTGTGTGTGTGTGTGTGTGTGTGTGTGTGTATGCACTTGCTCATTTGTGTGGTGGATGGGTGGAGGAGATAGAGTGGGGAGCACTTCCTAGAGACTCCCACATGTCCCCTCTGGTCCCAGCTACCATTCTGGTTTCACCCACAGGGAGAGACAGGTGAGCGAGGCCTTCCCGGTCCAGCAGGCCCCAAGGGAGAGAAGGGAGCACGGGTGAGTCCCCAGCCATGCCCACAGCTGGGCTGTCCTAGCTGGGCCCCAGGAGTGGGCTGGGCTGGGAGTCACCATGCTGTCATCTCAGCGAGAAGCCTGGCCCAAATAGGGGATGAAGGGGGTACTTCTAGGGGTTAGTCTGTGGAAGCCTCTGGTTTCTAGAGATATCTGGGGCTTTCCTCCTCACAAGAGGTCTAGGGTGACTTCCTCAGGAGGCCACAGCACTGATTCCTGTCCCTTACCCCTAGGGCAATGACTGTGTGCTAATCTCCCCGGATGCTCCACTTCAGGTAAGGCCCAGAGGTGAGGCTTGCTTCAAGGCCAAGGTGGCCCTGGCCCCAGTGGACCCCAGTGGGTGTCCTGGGCCTCCCTCAATACTTTGTCTCTCTGCTCAGTGTGCAGAAGGCCCAAAGGGAGAGAAGGGGGTGTCAGGAGCCTCGGTGAGTATGGAGCCAGGACTCGGGGAAAGTGGCCCAGGCTCACTCTTCCTTCCTCACCCCCTCTTTTGTGTCCGCTCTCGTCTTAGGGACCATCGGGACTCCCAGGCCCAACAGGCCAGAAGGTAACAGGCCAGGATTTGGAGGGGTAGGTGCCAGGGTGGTCTTCAGGCCTCACAGGCTTGAGGAGGGAGGTGTCTAAAGTCCTCCTACAGGATGGCAGCAGTGGGGACAGTTGGCAGGACCTTCCTCCATTTCTCCCAGTCATCCTGCCTTGTCCAAACACCCACCACCCTTAGAAGGAAACGCCACACACTCCCAGAGTAAGTGGCCTGGCTGATTTGGAAGTTCCTTCTGTTGTCTGGCCTTCTGTGGAAGCTGTTCCATTTCAAGGGAGGCAGAGACCAATGGTCTAGGAAGCATTTGCCCCTCTCTTAGCTCTAGAAAAGCTACCTTGGTTCTTCTAGTCCATTCCTACAACCTGAGTGACTTTGCCTCTTCTGTCCCCAGGGCCAGAAAGGCGAGAAGGGCTATGGAGGAATCAAGGGCTTGCCGGGAAAGCCAGGCCGAGATGTACGGTGCTTGGGATCCCTGACCCCCATAGCCTCTGGCACTGGATCTTGAAATGCCAGGATTTAGCCAGGCCACCCAACCCCACCCCTTTGCTCAGACTGGACATCAGGGCTCAGGGAGGGGAGGAGCCCTGCCCCAGGGTGCACAGCAAGACGGGGCTAGAAAAGGAACCTATCTCAGGCCTCCTGGCTCCTTCTTAGATGCTCTGATGGGGACATTTGATAGCTTTGGGAAACTGGGCTGGGTTCTGGATTTAGGTAGGGAGGTACCAGGGCCCTGGCTGTCCCTACACCTGCCCCTTCCCTGCAGGGCCGGCCAGGAGAGATCTGTGTGATTGGACCCAAAGGGCAGAAAGTGAGTCTTGAGTCTGGGGGCTGGAGGGTGGCAGGGCTGAAGTGGGAGCTTTCTCACACTCATTTGCATCTGTGCCAGGGAGACCCTGGCTTTGTTGGGCCTGAGGGGCTGGCAGGAGAGCCTGGGCCTCCCGGCCTCCCTGGTCCCCCTGGGATAGGTCTGCCTGGAACCCCTGTGAGTACAATCTTGTCTTTCTTGCTGTCCTTTCTCCTGCCCTGCTGCATACCAGGAGGGATACAGCCCTGTCCCAGGGGATCCTGGTTGGAGGAGGGTTAAGGAAAAAGATCTCACTATGCTATAGTGAGCGGCCCCCCTCAAACTTCCATCCACCCTTTTTCTGCCCTCAGGGGGAGCCAGGTGGCCCACCAGGCCCTAAAGGAGACAAGGTAAACAAAAGGAGGGGTGGGCACAGGGCACAGGTGAGCTTGCTGCTGAGGGGTTGTGCAGCAAGGCAGTCCCAAGATTTTGGATTTTGCAGCTAGGCTTTTCACTGAGGGGGCTTGGTTCAGCCAGGACCACGGTGGGGAGTGACTCATCCCAGAGCTCTCTGAGGTGGGGCCTTGGCAGAAAGCAAGATGAGCATAAAGCCCTGGAAATGTCCATCAGATGCTGTGCTTCCTCTGAGGTTCCTCAGGTCACCTCCTTCTCTGTTACACAGGGTGGGAAGGGACACAGAGGTCTCGTTTTCTCTTGAGCCAGACATGGAGAAGGGTAGGCAACAGGAAGGGAGGGTTTACCAAGCCAGTGGCCATGGGAGAGCTGACAGAGGTCATCCTGCCATGCACAAAGGGCTGGATGGAGAAGGGGAGAATGGGCTAGGAACCGGGTGTGCAGCAGCCTCCACCCTTTAACCTTTCTTTTGATTGCAGGGAAGCTCTGGGATTCCAGGCAAGGAAGGCCCTGGTGGGAAGCCTGTGAGTGACCCCAGCTCTGGGGAAAGGGTTGCTGGTCACCATAGGGGCTTCCCTTCCAAAGCCTCTTGTGGCATACCAGTCCCCTGTCCTGGCACTCATGCTCCTTGCTTCTTCTCCAACAGGGGAAGCCAGGAGTGCCAGGGCTGAAGGGAGAGAAGGTGAGTCCCAGGACTGGTTGGCCTAGGTTGGGATGAGAATGGGAGCCCTCTCTGCAGATGACACTGAGCATCATGATCATGGACCTGGGCTGAGGGTACAGGACCTTCTTCAGGTGACCCCTGCCCCTTCTTTATTCTGTGGCGTGCGTGCGTGTGTGTGTGTGTGTGTGTGTGTGTGTGTGTGTGTGTGTGTTTAGTAATAAAGAGCCTGGCTTGGGGTCATTTGGGCTCAGGTCCTGCCTCAGCCACCCGCATGGTTTATGAATGTAGCAGGTCACTTAACTTCTCCCTTTGCCCAAGTTTCCACATCTGTGATGGGGCACATTCATTTCCTATGGCTTGCTACAAAGCTGTAGTCATGTGATATCCAGGAATCCTGTTGAATGAATGATTAAGTTGGGCAGGGAACCCTGGAGTTTCTCTGCTGTCTACTTTGATACTGGGGACAGGGCAGTCAATGGCTAGAGCTGATGTGGGCAGGAGGCTCCGTTCCTTCCCCAGGGTCTCAGATCTACCCTGTCCTTTCATGGTCTCCCCCTTCTGCTAGGGTGACCCCTGTGAGGTGTGCCCAACACTGCCTGAAGGGTTCCAGAACTTTGTGGGGCTCCCTGGAAAGCCAGGGCCTAAGGGGGAACCAGGGGATCCTGCACCAGTCAGGGTAAGTATACATGTGGCCACTGAGAGATACCCTGCCCCCCCTCCACACACACATATTTTGTTCACAGAGAGGAATTGGACCAAGGGACTGGGTACTTCTCAAGGCCACAGAGAGATGCTGGGTAGAGGCTGTAGGTGGTTGAGGTCTGAAACATAGAGCTTAGGGCTGGGCTAGAGTGTCATCCTTCATCTCCCTGGCAACCTCCTAGAACTCTCCAAGGGACTCTAAGATGCCTTTTGAGCAAGCTGGAGTGGAGCCATCCCTTATTGTGAGTGAAGCTGGGCCCTAGGCTTGGGTATTGGCTAGAGGGGAAGGAAGGGAGTAGGGTGAAGCAGAGATGGGTTGGGGTCTGGGCCTGGACTCCCCACTCTCTTACAGGCACTCTCTTTCAGGATGGCCTGGGAAGTGCTGGACAGAAAGGTGATCGGGTAGGTTCAGGAACTTTCCCCTGGGGTAGGTGAGCCTGGCCTCGTTTCCCTCACTGGTTACATGAGTGAGTGAAGACCCGGGTGTTTGGTGTATGACATAACTGTCCTTATATGTGGCCAGAGTGTTTGAGGTGCCTGAACATGCCCAGTCGCAGCCCACAAACCATTTCTTCCCTGCAGGGAGACCCTGGCATACAAGGCATCAAAGGAGAGAAGGTGAGGGAGCTGTGGTCCCCTGTTGCGCCCCTCTGCCTCTCTGGGGGCCTTTCTGATCCCTTCTCTTCCTTGTCCAGGGGGAGCCCTGCTCACCTTGCACCTTAGTTGCCGAAGCCCAGTATCTTGGCCCCTCGATGGGGGCCCAAGGAGAAGTGGGCTCCTCTGGCTCCAATTTGCCTGGCCTTCTGGTGAGTAGCCCACCCCTGCCCAGCTCTACCCCACCTCTGTCTCTGTGGTACCCAGAAGCTTTCTCATAGGACCCTAGGGTGCCACCTTCCTAACAGAAACAACTGTCCAGTTTTCCGAATGTGGATTCATAATTCCCATCATCCCTTTCTCTTTCTGGTTGGACACTGGGAGCTTGGAGGGGTGGCAGTAGAGAGGTGTTGTGACTCCATCTTGGTTATTTTTCAGGAGAAAGCTGGGGCTCCAGGGCCAAGAGGGCTGAAAGGAGAGAAGGTGAGACATGGGCTAAGGGTCAGGGACACCAGAGATTCTTGGCAAGGAGGCAAGGAAGGGTTGGCCTTGGGCAGGAACCAGGGCAGAGATTAAACTGTAAATTCACAGTGAAATGGATTCATCATTGTTTTGCAGATTGGAGTCAAAGAATTTATTTCAAAGAGCCTTTATGTTTTCCAAGAAAATTCCTTAGTGTTATATTTTTAATTTAATGATAATCTAAAACTCTTAGGCACTTTCGAGACTAACTAATAGTAAGATAATATTTAATACTTCTTTTCTGCTAATTATGTGCCAGGCACTGTTCCAAGTCTTGCACATGTGTTAGTTAATTTTATCATCCCCAAACTGTGTGGGATGAGTACTTGATTATTCCCATTTTATGGATGGGAAAGGGACAGAAAGGTTTAGTAAACTGCCCAAAGCCACATGGGTGTTTGGATGCAGAACTGGGATTTGAGCCCAGGAAATCTGGCTCCAGAGTCTGTAATCTTCACTACTCACCCGGGCCACTCAATTTCAGTGCCCGTGTTAACATTTGTATTTATGATCGCATTAGAGACAAATGACAGCCTTGAACCTCTAATGGAGTGTTACTCAAATGAGGGGTTCTGTGGGCATACAAGTGCTTAAGTGTGAGAAACACTGAGATACATGCTCAGAATCAATTCCAACAGGCAAAGCACACTTGGCTCTTCTCAAATGGAGCTTTTGCTCCCCCACTTCACACCTCTTCTTCTAGTCTTTTCCATCACAGTGAAGGGTAGATACCCAGGTCCCCAAGCTCCAAGCCTGGTGTCATCCTTGACTCCTCCCTTTGCCATAGCATCATCCCCTCCATCCACCCCAGCTGCAGGTCCTGACAGTTCTGCCAGTGACAGCTTCCTCAGTTCCCTCCAATTGACCACTGCTCTTGCCACTACCACCTTCGTCTGGGTCCCCATCGTTTCTCACCTGGATGGCAGCAGCCTCCTCCAGCCTGCCTGTGGCCACTACAGCCCATCAACAACTCATTTATCATCCTGTAGCTAATGTGGCTTTGTAAAAAGAGCTCTAATTACATTATTTCACTGCTTATAGTCCTTCTGGGACTTGACTTTGTACCACAGTCCTGCCAGGTCTCATCTGCCATTTGACTGTGTGTTCTCTGCTTGTCTCTTAGGGTAATTTTGGGGAGGCAGGGCCAGTCGGCAGTACGGTAAGGAGGCTTTGGATGGCAACAAGTCAGGGGAGGAAAAGTGGGAGATGCTGCCTACTTACTGGGAGCAGATAGGCTGGTCTGTGCCTCTGCACGGCCCAGGCTGATGTTGGGCATCACGCGTGGCTTCTTCTCATGTAGGGACCACCAGGGCAGGTTGGACCAGCAGGCTCCAAAGGGGAAAAGGTGAGTCCACATCCCCTGCATGCAACTTTCTCTACTTCCAACCCTGGGGCCTCTTCCCTGCTTAGGGTAAAGTCTGACTCTTAGCATGGTGTCAAGACTCTCCAACTTGGCCCCTGCCTTTGTTTCTTCTTTGTGTTCCCACAATCTTTCCAGAGAGGCCCTTGGCCCAGCAGAAGTGCTATGTCACATCCAGCTGTGTTCCCCAGCCTCAGGTTCCAAGCCCAGCCTTAGAGCCCAAGGGTTAGGGACCCCCCTAACTCAGCATCTTTGCTCGGCAGGGGGAGCCTTGTGAGCCATGCTCAGCCTTGTCTAAGCCTCAAGATGGGGATAGTCATGTGGTACATTTGCTTGGCCCAGCTGGAGAGAAGGGGGAGCCTGGACCTCCAGGCTTTGGCCTGCCAGGAAAGCAGGTGAGTCCCTGGGGCCTCTGGAAGTGGACATGGGCAGGGCTCAAGAGAGGAGAGGGGTCCCACCTGCATCTTTTCCCTCCCTGGGTAGTGGGAGTGTGCAGGGGTCAGCAGTGACTTTGTCTCCAGCAGAAGGCACCCCAACCAGACTCTGCCCTTTATCCTGGGACCAAGAGAGCCTAGGAGGCAGAGGCAGCACTGATCTCGAGCCAGGCAGACCTGGATTCCAATCCCAGCTCTGCCTTTTACTAGATTTTTTTTTTTTTTTTTTTGATACCAGGGATTGAACTCAGGTCCTTGTGCTTGCGCAGCAGGTGGTGAACCCACTGAGCTGAATCCCTGGCCCTTTACTAGATTTTTGACTTTAGCAAGTCACTTTTTTCTTCTGTGCCTTGCGTTTTTCCCATAGGGTTGTGGCAAACCTGAGTGCCACACAACTGATATCAGATAAATGACAGTTATGGGTATGGGTGTATTATTGTTACCACTTTGACAGTAACAGTGAACACCAGCCTGTGGTCACCCTGTGCCACATGCTGGTCCACACAGATCACTGTGTCTGAACGCACAAGGACCCTGTGGGGCAGAAGCCTATGCTATTCTAATTGTCCCCATTTGTAGGATGAGGAAATTGAGCCTTGGGATAGATGAGGTGACTCGTCGAGGTCACACAGGAAGGCAGTCTGGCTTAAGTCTTCTCTTCACCACAGGAGGGGACTTCACTAGCATGCGGGAGAGACTATCTGCTTTGTTTCTGGGGTGTCCTGGGATCTAACACAGTGCCGGGCACTCAGGGGTGAGGGGAATGCTTTCTCCTCAGGGCAAGGCCGGAGAGCGTGGACTGAAGGGGCAGAAGGTGAGAGAACCTGGGTGGGCACCAGCTCCTCTCGGATGCCCTCCTTGCCTCCTTCTCCTGATTTGTTTGTGCCTGCTTTCCACTGCTTCCCTAGTCCCCTGCCCCGAAGTGGGGAAAGTTGTGAGTGTCTGAGGGTTCCCGGGGGCAACCTTCTCCCAGCTGGGCCATCCCTACCCTTCTTCAACCCTACTTTTTACAGGGTGAGCCTGGGAGTCCTGGAGACCCTGGAAGGCCTGGCACCACGGGGCGGCCAGGACTGTCAGGAGAGCCTGGGGTGCCAGGCCCCTTGGGACCAAAAGGAGAAAAGGTCAGGGGCCTGTTTGTTGCATGGGTGAAAAGAAATCAGATGGTGAGCAAATCAGGGGAAGGATTGCAAGGGTAGACCATGGGCCTCTAAGGAGGCCAGAATCTCTGAGTGGAGGCTGAAGCTCTTCAGTGCACATAATTTCTGGGCTGAGGAGAGGGCGGTGGAGGGGCAGAGCTTGCAGGGGGCATAAGGACTCCTTTTGTAATTCCTCCTGGCCTGAATACCAGCCTTGGCTCACTAGCTCGTTCCCTCTCTGACCAGGGTGATGCCTGTACTGCCTGCCCTAGCCTGCAGGGGGCAGTGACAGACATGACTGGACTGCCTGGGAAGCCTGGCCCCCAAGGAGAGCGAGGCCCAGAAGGAGTAGGCCGGCCAGGTAAACCGGTGAGTTCCAGTGGCCTGCCCTCTGGTCCTTTCCTGCCTGGGCTTTACCTTCTCTTCCTGGGCCCCCCTGTCCCCTGTGGAACTCTGTGGGCCTTCTTGTGCCTTGTAGGGCAAGCCTGGTCTTCCAGGAGTTCAAGGACCCCCAGGACAGAAGGGCACAGAGGTATGTGTGCATATGGGGACCTGGCTGCCGCTGTGTGTGGGTGAGGGTGGGGAGACCCCGGGTAGGCTGAAGGCCTTGGCATGGGAATTGGAGGTAAGCCCAGGGAGGGAAGGAGGAGACAGAAATGGTTAAGGAGATCGGTGAAGGGTGAACTACAGATCTTGAGCTGGGGTTATTCTTTTGCCTCTTCAGGGAGAACCAGGGCCTCCAGGAGTGGGAGCGCAGGGGCCTCAGGTGAGCCTCCAGCCTTACCTCTGTCTTCCCACTCCTTTGCAACACTTCTGATAGCCAGCCCACTCGCACTGGCCCCCCATATTGCAGAGCTCTGCCTGCCTCCAGATACTCATGGGCACAGCTCTGGGACCAGGGTCAGGCAGCAGCCCCTACCTGCTGTGCTCTGTCAGCACAGGACTTGGCTTCACCCCCCTGTCTGCCCCTCAGTGTCTCCTTGGGGAGCACCCTTGAATTTGACATGGCAGATGCCCCCCTCAGGTCTACAAATGGGGTACAGCCAATGGGGCAGGTTGTCTTGGGCTGCCATACCCCAGTCCGCCTTTCCAACTTGCAGGGAGAGCCTGGAGCCCAGGGTCTGCCTGGCATTCAGGTATGTCTACCTCGGGGCAAGAGGAGGTTGACGGGGGAAGGGTCACATTGGGATAAAGCTTAATGAACTGGGCTTCTGCCTGCAGGGACTGCCAGGACCTCGGGGACCACCTGGCCCCACTGGAGAAAAAGGTGCCCAGGTGAGCTTCTGCTTTCTGGGGTGCTGGGTCTTCAGGGGTTTTGAGTACCCTGGCAGCAGGCACAGGGAACATGGTCCCGAGTGATGCCCATCAGAGGGCTGCCTGAGACCAGGTCCACTGCGTCTCACCTGCTAGGCTGTGCCAGCTTCAAATCCTGCTCCTGTAACCTTTGTGCCTTATCTTCCCCAGGGACCTCCAGGGGCAGAAGGAGCCACTGGACCAGTAGGACCTCCTGGTGCCAGCATCTCTGGGCCTCCGGTACGCGTCTTCTCATGTGCCATGCTGGGAATGCTGCTGGTGCCACCACGCTGCTGTGGAGGGGAGGGCAGGGTGCTGACCCTGCCTATCCCAGCGGTGCAGCATGGGAGGAGAGGGGCCTGAGCCCGGCCAGCACTGTTGGGGCACCTGTTATCCAACCTCCCTCTGTCTCTCCCCTTCCCCTTCCCAGCTTCCAATAAGTGCCATTCTACTCATTTCTACTTTGAAGTTGACTTTTTTAGCTTCTGCAGGAGACGGAACGTGCTCACTACCATTTTTTGAGCAGTAGCCGTGCTGAGGCCCTGTGCTGAGCTCTGAACACCCAGAAATTCGCTTTCATCTCACAGAGCCCTGTGAGGGAACTGCTGTTATTGTCCTGTTCCCTAAATATGGAAATTGAAGGCCAGTGAGGGAGGGGCGGAGCCAAGAACTTGAAGCTCTGTGTATCTGACTCAAAGCCGCCTACTTCACACCGTAGAGTCTCTGGGGACCTTCTATCCAGTGCTGCCCACTGGAGTGATCCCCAAGGAGGGAAAGGTTCTGTTCTGTGCTGCCCGAGACAATGATTTCCATGTTTAAAAGATGCGTCTATTGAACAAATTGCATGGATTAAGTAATAATAAGCACATTTTCTCATTGTAGTCATCAAAAACCTGTCTAATAGTCAGCTTCTACTCCAAGTGAACCTGCTAGAATTTTACAAGATGATATAATTTTAGCACAAATCAAAGGAATGCCACCTTTCAGCCAGCCTGTGCCATGCTGGGTTGTGGGCAAATGTATAATTTTTCTTGAGCTTTTGGCAATGTTGAAAATAGCCCAGTGAACTGTATCTTTTTCTGTCTTTGTGGGTCCCTAGAAAAATTCCTGTACCAGTTTGTGAATCACTGGTGAATTCTTCCCAAGAGTGCAGTGAAGCCCAGAGGGGGCAGGGATTTGCCCAGGCCCATGGAACCAGTCTGCTTTGTCCCCACTGGGAGCCCCGGGCAGGGAAGGGGTCCTGATTCCAGGGGAGCTTCGAGTCCCAGATGTGAAGGTCCCACAGGAGGGCAGCTGTGGGCACACCAGCTATGCATCCAGGCTGGCCTCTCTGGCCTTTGCTCAAGTCGCTGTCCCTTCCAGAAGCCCTCTCCAGGCCTCCCCTCAAGCAGAGTTCCATCCGGGAGACTTCCCAGCCCCACTCCATACTAGCTGTGTGGCCTTAGGCAAGTGACAGTGGCTCAGATTTTCCAATTTCTTATTGATAAAATAGGAGCTGAAGTTCTTTTCTCAGCTCAGTCACCATCACCAGAGGTAACTTTTGTGATAGAGAAAATGTGTATTGGTCACTAAAGGGGGACTACAGGGGTTAGGGGCTCTGGGCCACACCAACCTGGGTGCAGTTGTGCTGACAATGGAACTTCTTTAAGCCTCAGTTTCCTCACCTGTAAGACAGATCCACAGGGTCCTGCAGGGCTGGGCCTGGGGGGTTCCATTTACTGTTTTTTGACAGGCTCTTGGTTTGGTCTCTGGCTCCCAAAGTGCACAGGAAACGCCAGTCTTCCTCCTCCTCCTTTCTCTTTTCGTTATAGAACGTGGGTGCCTGGGAGCCTGGTGCTGCTGCTGTTTGTCCTAATGCCCTCCTCCGAGGCAGGCCAGATGGCCAGCATCTGTTCAGTCTTGCTCACTCTGGGCTCTCTCCCTTCAGGGCCTTGATGGACAGCGAGGAGAGACTGGGCTTCCAGGAGCCAAAGGGATGCCAGTGAGTATGGTGCCCGGATAGCAGGAAGCTATGGCTGGCCCTGCCTCTGCACCCCTCTCTACTCACCTCCCTGTGTTCCTTCTCCACAGGGTGAAAAGGGATCTCAAGGAGAGAAGGTACGTCCCAAAGACCTGTAACTACTCCTCTGGAGGAATCATTAGCCCCTATAGCCCCATTGCCCAAGGAAGCCTGTGCACACGGTAGCTGCCCCGGACTGGAGGATGGGACCCGAGGAGGCATCTTAATCCCCTCTCCATTCACCAGTTCCCTGATCCCAGGGGCCCAGATACTCCTCATTTCAATTGGTTGCTGGCCCAGGATTAAATCAGGATCACAGGAGACCAGAGAGCTCTGGAAGCCCCTTAGAGGCAGCTGCATTGTCACATGGGGGCTGGGTCAGAAGATGGAACAGGAAGAAAGTTAGGAAGGAGTGGTAGTAAGAAGACAGAGAAGTGAGGGACAGGGACAGAAGGGCATGGAAGCCAGGCAGGGCCCAGGGGAGCAGGGCTGCAGCTGGTGGAGCTATAACTGTACAGTGGGTGGCAGCAGAAAATGATAAAAGTAAATGCTGACAGTCACATCCATCCTTGTTGGTTGAATACCAGGTGCCAGGACTCCTGTACACATTAATCCATTCCATCCACATGATAGTCTATGCAGTTGGAGTTATTACCCCATTTTATAGATAAGGAGGCTGAGATAGGAGGCCACAAGATGCCCAAGGGCACAACTGTAAGAGACAGAACCTGGATTTTAGCCCTGGCCTGTGCTTCTCCAGGTCCCACACTGCCTCCCACTGTCAGTTACCCAAGGACCCTCCATCCCCACCACATCTAACCAAGGTTCTCACCTTCCCAGGGAGACCCAGGGGAGTGCTCCTGCCCCTCTCGGGGAGACCCCATCTTCTCTGGCATGCCGGTAAGTGGAGCTGAGAACCTCCTCTGCTGGGGCAGAGGCCTGGCTTCCAGCCTCACCTGGTGCCCAGTGTGCAAGGGCCCTGCAGGGCTTTGCGCCCCAGCCAGCTGCCTCCCCACGCAGCCCTGCGCTTGGTGTGGTCGTTGCCTATAACCTCTCCCCTTCTTTTGAAACCCCTCCTCCCACCCAGGGTGCTCCTGGACTTTGGATGGGCAGCTCCTGGCAGCCGGGCCCGCAGGTGTGTGTCGCTTGTCTCTGTCTCTCCTCTTGTCTGCCAGCACCCTGTGGCTTGCCCACCCTTGACTATGCTGCCCTCGGCGATGAGGCAGAGCTCTCAGCAGGGTCTGAGTCTGTCTTCTCCTCCTCAGGGCCCCCCAGGTGTCCCTGGACCACCAGGCCCCCCTGGAATGCCTGGGCTGCAGGTAAAGGGGGAGAAGAGAAAGAATGAGGAGTTGGGTGGAAGGGCTCATGCAGTCATGGTGCCGCTCCGTGCCAGAGCTCGGGTCCACTGTGGCCCTGCCCCAACCACGTGGTGTGTGTCTCACTCCTCTGTGTGCCTGCTTCCCATGGTGCATGGAGGTCCATGAACTTTGAGGCCAGGGTGGGCATTCCCAGCCCCTTTTCTTTTCTTTCTTTCATTTTTATGTGTGTGGGGGGAAGTTGGGGGACTGGGGATTGAATGCAGCCAGGGCCTTCACACTCGACTACATCCTAGACCTTTTTTTTTTCTTTTAATTTTGAAAGGGTCTCACTAAGTTGCCTATGCTGCCAGCCCTTTTCAAGGCATACCCTGTTGTGTGATAGTGCAGGCACCACACCAGTGGTGCCAAGCTCAGGCCTTGGTCAGCTGTCAGGAACCCAGAATCTGGGTCAGATCAAAGTCCTTTACGCTGGTACAAAGCTCCCCATTTTGGAGCAGTATTCGACGTTCATTCATTTGTGCAACACACATTTTTGCATGTCTGCTGTTTTCCAGGCATTGTTTTAGGTACTGGGACACAGCAGTGGGCAAAAATGAAAATCCCTGTCTTCTTGGAACTTGCTTCCTAGTAGGAGAGACAGACAATAAGCAAATAAATAAAATACAGTATGTCGGAAAGTGGTATGTGCTAAAGAGAAAGATAAAGCTGGGTGTGGATAGAAGCTGGAGGAGGGTGAGAAAGATATTTGTGAAAAGTGCTAAAAAAGAAGGTGGTGTTTGAATAAAAACAAAGGAAATGTGAGTGAGTCTGTGGAAGAGAGCACTCCTGGTAGGGAAACAGCAGGTGCAAAGGCCCAGGGGTGGGAATGCGATTGATGTATTTAGTTGATAGCAGCGAGGCCCTAGATAGCAAGGGAAGAGCATTAGAAGTCAAGATCTGTGTGCCTTTTGTATTTCTTTGTACTAAGGATTGAACCCAGGGAGCACTGAGCTACATCCCTAACCCTTTGAAATTTTATCTTGAGACAGAATCTTGCTAAGTTGCCCAGGTTGGCCTTAAACTTCAATCCTCCTGCCTCAGCCTCCCAAGTAGCAAGGATAACAGGCATGCACCACCTGTGTGGCATTTGGCTTAGGGTTTGCATTTCAGAGCCAGGCAGCCTGAATTTGAATGCCAGCTTTGCTGTGGGCTAGCTGCGTGATAGTGGGCAAGATACTTAACTTCTCTGAAGGGGGATAATTATAGCACCTACCTTTTAGGGCTTTTTATAAATATTTTTTAAAAAGTTAATGCATGTGAAGTGTATAGAACCGTTCCTGGCACCAAATAGATGTTGAGGAGGCATTAGCTGTCATTACTACAATGATGACTGCTATTATTATTTTATATCCATTCTCTCATTCATTGGAGCCTTCCATCAAGTCTAAAAGGAAAGTGATGTATCATTAAATCCCAGCCGGGCAGGATGAAGCTTGGAGAATTAAGATACTTAATCCAAGGTCCCCCAGCCAGGAGGTGGCACTCTGGACTGGGCTTCCCTGTGCAGAGCACTTTCTGCTCCCCGCCGCTGCCTTTCAGGACAGCTCCCCAGTGTTTTCACTTGGTGAACCCCCATTTGCTGAAAGTGTCCAAGCTTCCATGCAGTGCCAGGACACAGTCATCTGTCTGCAGGGGCCTTGCTGGGGGAGCCCAAAAGTCATTTCAAAGTGACCCATTCACCATGAAAGCTGATGTAGTGCAAACCCCACCAAGCCATGGTAGGGGACCATGGTAGGGGACCAAGGCAGGAAGGCGTGGCTGCCAAGTCTGATCCTAGGCACCAGAGTCCTCAACTGGTGCCAGTGCCTGAACCCAAACACAGGCTGCCACTAACAGGCCCCTGCCCCATGCTCAGTGGGATACAGGAGGGCTTTGCAGCAATGCTGTGTGGGCACAGAAACATCTCAGGAACACACAGCACTTACCTACTGCATAGTCTCACCGCCTGATTATATTTCATCCTGATCCATTGTCCAGATTCGGAAACTGAGGCACAGCAGGTTAAGAAATGTAGCTAGTAGGTAGTCGAGCTTACCTAGATGTCAACTCGGGCTGCACTCTTCACTTCTACAGTAGAACAACACATGGGACATTTAGTTCTGGGAGGGCAGGAAAAGAATCTCAGCCTCAGCCTTGAACTAGTGCAGCAGCAGTGAAGAGTGGGCCAGGGAGCGAATGATGATGATGATGATGATGATGATAAACACATTCAAGGCTTGTGCTGAACCCTGACAGCACTGGGCTGGATGCTAGAGGGGATAGGTGGAGGCTGACTCCAGGCTGGGTCCAGGCCCCGCAGGGCGTGCCCTAAATAGGGAGGGCTGCTGGGTGCAGGTGATGTGTTCCACTGCTGGGAGCTAGAACTTGAAAGGAGGCCAGATCTCAGAGCGGGCCAAGGAAATCCTGCAGGGAGGAGTAGGCCGAGCAGTGGAGCATACACTCAACTCGTATTTAATGCATACCTCCTCCATGTCGGGCACCAGGGATTCAAAGCGGAACATACTCCCTGCCTCTGTGGTGTATTTAATACGCAAATGTGCATTGTGAATCTCCAAAGGAAACCTCTAAGCTAGATGGCACACATTTAATATGAGCAGTCTGGGTGTCCCAGGCTCTGTACTAAGCTCGTTTCAGCCATTGTCTCCTTTGAAGCCTCACTACAAACGATTCCTGATCCCTGTCTTACAGATAAGGAAACTGAGACACAGAATTTGCCCTCCCACCCATACCCGTAACCTGCCAAAAGTCATACAGGTAGTCAGGATTTGCACCTGGATGTTCTAGGGATGTTTTTCGAGGGATGATGCTGCAAGAGTAGGGAAGAGAGGACCGGAAGTTAGTGATTCTCAGCTCTGTGCCTTGCCCAGCTTGTGGCCTTTGGCAGATTATGTACCCTCTCTTAGTTCTTTATTTTGTTTTTAAAATGGAGATAAAATGCTTAGTTCATAGTTGGGCATGGTGCTACACACCTGTAATCCCAGACACTGTGGAGGCTAAGGCAGGAGGACCGCAAGTTTGAAGTCAGCCTGGGCAACTTAGTGAAACCCTGTCTCAAAATAAAATTTTAAAAGGGCCAGGGTTGTAGCTCAGAGGGAGAGAGTACTTGCCTATTATGTGTGAGGTCGTGGGTTTAATCCTCAGCACACATCCACAAAAATGTCTAGTTCACCAAGATAATTGTGATGATTAAAATGAGAATATAAAGAAAAACTACTTAGGATAGGAAGAAATAGCAGTTACTATATGGTAGACTCTGCCCAATTCTGTGCTTCTCCTGCCACATGGGTGAAACACTCCCTGTGGGCTTGGTTGTAGGGGTCACCCCACTGGCCCTTCTTGGTTTTCCTTCCAAACCGGAAACTTTTGAGCTGCGGAATAGATGGCAGTCTAGTGCTGGCCAGGGCTCTTGGCGTTGCAGAATGAAGGGAAGAGGCAGTAGGATGATGAGGCGGGAGCAGGAAGGCTGGAGGGCAAGAGAGAGGAGTCTGCTCACATGTGTCTCTCCTTGGCTGCAGGGATTGCCTGGCATTGACGGTCTGCCAGGACAGCCTGGGCTCACTGCAGAAGTGGTAGGTACCAGCCAACACTCACTGTCCGCCTCCCCTGCCCTTTCCAGGGCTCAGCTGGCCACCCATCCCCTTTAGCTGCGGGTGGGGTCCCTCTTCTCTCCGCCTCTGATGCTGGGAGAAGCCCAGATGGCATGATGTTCTCTGAGGCTGCTCCTGATCCCACAAGTCTCCCTCCTTCTCCCCTCACCTGCCAGAACCCACATGTCTGACTGTCTCTTGCAGGGCTCCCTACCCATTGAGCGGCAGCTCCTGAGGGTAAGAGGGCTCGGGGAGGTAGTGGGAGCTGGCGGGGTTCTTGCAAGGGCATCTTCCTAGCAAGTGCTCAGCTGTGGCCTCTCATGAAGAGCAACAGATTGAGCTCACTGGTCCCCTGCTGGTAGGGAATGTGCCTTCCAAGCATCTGTCTAAGAGGGCCTGGCTGGTGCCTGGCTTGTAACAGATCCCCAGGCAACATGTGCTGAATGAGTGCTTAAAGGAATCCTTCGAAGGTCCGCTCTCCCGGCACTGGCTTGTCAGTGTCCTGGACATCCCCCTAGCCCACTGGGCCTTGGCCAGGGCAGAGTGTGGGGGCTGCCTGCCCTGCCCCCCAGCCCCCCCGGAACTGCAGATATCTCCAGAAGCAGCAGGAGGAAAGGTCAGGTCAGCCTCCTGGCAGCAGCTACATGCTGGATCCAAATGGGGTTGTGGCATTAAGATCCCTGGTTCTTCTCTTCTAGGCTTCTGTCAAGCCTGGGTTCCCCCAAGTCCTGACCCTGAGCAGTGATTATGTGACTCCAAACCCAAGATTTGACATTGCTTCTTGTAACATTTCACTTGATGGCTTCATAATCAAATGGTCTACAAAGGGCACCCCATAGGAGCTGAGTGTACCCTTAGATAGCAGCCCCAGGGGGGCCAACCCGGAGCCGCATCCACAACCCAGCAGAAGCACTGGCTTGGCTGTAGATGGACAGGGCCAACCCAGCTCCCACCGACCTAGACAAATCACCTCTTCTGAGTGTCAGCTTTCTCATCTCCACAGTGCTTGTGAGATAACCTGCCCCACGAGCCCTGAGGATTGGATGTGATAATGCGCAAAGGCCTATTGTGATGGCTAGCCTCATGGGTGCTGCATAAATGATTACCGTTATCTTCGGGTGTCAAAGTGAATAATGAAGGGGAGACCCAGGGCTCCTACTTAGGGCCCGTGGACACCATGTCCTGCCACAGACAGACTCCAGGGTCCAGAGTCTTCAAAAATCGTGGGCTAGTTTTCTTGGTGGGTTTGAGTTTGGAAGAGAGGACTGGTATCTTCCATCACATTCTCAGAATCTGTGAGCCAAAGAAGGTGGAAAGTTAGGGCAAGAGGCCTGTCAGGAAGATGTTCAGGCTCGGTGACCTGGGGAGCCTGTGGCAGTCATGCTGCTCTGGCAATGGAGGGCAGGCCCAACCCAGCTCCCTGCAGCTGTGTCCCTGGCTCCCTTGGGCCACAGTGCTGGCTTTCGAGCCAGCCTTTGCTGCCGCGCTCCTGGTGGCTTGTCCTCACAGTGGGTGCAGGTTGCAGGAACAGCCGGGACAGATGGTCGCTCTGTGGGCCCCTCCACCTCCTCCCACACGCCTGTCTGGAAAGTGCTCTGGCTTGGCCCTACCAGAGCTTCTTCCTGGAGGGAACTCAAAAGCCAAATGTTGGGATTGGGTTCCCTGAGGATGGAGCAAAGCTGCCTTGGGAATGTGGCTGGGAGGGAGAGTGTGGGCGGAGCACTGTGGGGCAGCAGGATCCCCTGGTCTCCTGCTGAGCTGTGTTCCCACACTGGGCCCATTCTGGCCGCTCTGACCTGGGTCCTGATGCTCTCCTATTCCCCACCCAGAGCATCTGCGGGGACTGTGTCCAGGGCCAGAGAACTGTTGCACTATCCTCCCTAGAAAAGGGAGAGAAGGGAGACCAGGCCATCCCTGGAGTGCCAGGCCTTGACAACTGCGCCCGGGTAGGGACTGTGCTGGCACACCCTGGGGTGGTGGTGGGGGCTCCCTGGCTGCCTCTCCTGACATGGCCTCTCTTATCCTCTGCAGTGCTTCTCCCAGCGGGAGCGCCCAAGAGCCGAGGAGGCCAGGGTGAGTGAGCCCTCTCCCGAGCTGCCATCCTTCTGCTATTCTTGGAAAGAGGCCCTGTCTGCTCACTGTCACATCTCTGTCCCTACTCCAGGGAGACAACATGGAGAAAGATTCTGATTGTGCTGGGAGCCCCGGCCTGCCTGGTTCTCCAGGGCTGCCCGGCCAGAGAGGAGAAGAGGTAAGACCAGGGATCAGTCCCTCATCTGGGCAGAGCCGAGGTGCCCAGAGCTCTGCCAAGTCCTAGAGATCTTCTAGGAGCCCCCAAGGCCTCATAGAGCTCAGAGCCCCTCATTGCCTGGCCTCCCCGGTTCCCTGGCACACTGGCTCTTCGGTGCTTCCTCTGCCTGCTACCCTCTTCTCAGGGCCCACTCCTGCACGCCTACTGTGATAGGGTCACACGTCGCCTTCTTGGTGGGAACTTCCCGGACACCCTGTCTAAAATGTAACCCTCAGCTAGGTGTGGTGGTGCATGCCTGTAATCCCAGCACTCTGGGAAGCTGAGACAGAAGGATCACAAGTTCAAATCCTGCTTGGAGACCCTGTCTCCAAAAATAGAACCCTCTCATCAATCCCAGAACCCCTGGGTCCCTAACCTGTGTCATGCTCATAGCTATAAACATGCTATGTATTTACTCCATTCAGGAACATTCCACAGGTATCGACTAGGTACCAACTAAGTGCCAGCCTTATTCTATTTGCTACTGTCCACCTTGCCTCTCAGATGTAAGTGGTACTACAAGGCAGGGATTTATATAGCTTTGTTTATAGCTGTGTTTCCAGCCCCTGGACCAGTGCCCAGTACATAATAACTGCTCAATAAATGTTTGTTGGATGACTGAATGAACCAAATGAAAGGCCATTTTAGCATCCACTAAATGGTCCTGCTTTGACAACAGCTGCCTTTGGTTGCATTTGGCCATGCAGTTACCAGGGCTCTGTGGGCCCCCAGCTTCTTCATCCATTTCCCTTGGCTTCCTTTGCAGGGTCCACCTGGCATGAGGGGCTCCCCGGGTCCTCCAGGCCCTATTGTAAGTACCAGTGGTGACCTGGCTTGCTTGAGAAGCTTTCACAGGGGTTCTATTGCTCACACTCCATTTTGATGCTTTGTCCCCAAGAAGCTGGGCAGGACAGGAGGGGAGAACATCCACTGCCCTCCCTTCCCCATGAGAGTGTCTCTGGGGACGATGGTCTTCTACCCCCAGGTCCCCTGGAACTGCCCCGCTCTGCCTGTGTGCCTGTGTCCCTGCTTAGCACAGGCCCTCAGGGGCACACCTTTGCCTCCACTTCACTGCTGTTTGTTTTTCACATGGGCCCAGGTTGCCTAGGCAGCCAGGGAGGCATGTGGCCCTCTGGCCAAATCTCTTCGTGCCCCTACAAGGGGCCAGGGACTGTGATGGAGCTGCCCTCTGTTGCTCTGTGGGACCATCTCTGGGGCAAGACTACAAAGACCAGAGCAGGGGCATCTACCCTGGAGTTCCCTGTGGGGCTGATAAGGCAGGAAAAGAAAGGGACTAGAAAGACGGGAAGAACTAGCCATGTGTTCTTTGGAGAAAAATGTCCAGTGGGAGCCCTCTTGGAGCCCAGAAGCCATCACTTGGAGGGTGTGGAGAGCCCTGGTTGCCAGGAGGATGGGCAATATCGAAAGGAACGGGCTCCCACTCCAGCAAAGGTGTTCAGTAGACTCCGGAGGACAGAGGATGGGTTGACTCTGAGGCTGTTTGCATCTCTGCTGATGGAGGAGCCATTCTCCCAGGTGCCGAAGGGAGGAGCAGTTTTGTTTGGGACCACGGAGGTCACAAGCCACTTTTTCAGCTGCCTTGAGAAAACGCCCGAGACCTCCCCTCCCCCACTCGCGGCTCCCAATCCCAGACTGTGCCCCCCAGGCCACCCCAGGATGACTGTGCTTGTGAGATGTGACCTGCCTGTTTCTCCCACCAGGGCCCCCCAGGTTTTCCTGGTGCTGTTGGCTCCCCTGGATTGCCTGTAAGAACCTAGCATTGCTGACCGCCCCCCGCCCCCTGCCAGCAAGGTCTCTGTGGCTTTTGCTTGTCCCCCCCTGCTGTACCCTCATACCCCTCCTCTGTGTTGGTTGTCCTCTGCAGGCACGGTAGCTAACAACACAGGTTCCCTGAGGTCCCAGCAGCCTGGACACCCTCCCAGTTCCTGACTTCTTCCCTTTCTCCCCTCTCCCTCTCCGCCCACCTTCCTTACCTCATCTTCTCCCTTTCACCTCTATCACAATCCCACGTCATTCCCTGTAAATCCTCCTGGTCCTGGACTATTTTACCTTCTTATTTTGAGCTGGTACCTCTTGGAGCCCCTTTATTCCATCCTTCTCACTTCTGCCTCCTGCTTCTCACCACCTGCCGTGTGGATTGAAGATTTGCTGAAAGTAGTTCTTGGGGCCCTGCCAGGCACCTGGCTCTGAGCCCGGCAGAGATGCCAGAGCATTAGGGCTTCACATTGCAGGCTGCCCCCGGTTTGCTGCCCTACTGCTTAGCAGGGCTGTCCAGAGGCACCGCAGGGTTTGAAGCCAGCCCTTCCCCTCATCCTGGAGGAACCCTCAGCTCCCTGCCCTTCCTCCCTCTTCCTTGGCTCCAGTCTCAGCTTGCTTCAAAGCTGGCCACGTGATACCAGCTAGTTGGGTTTCTGGTGTTTTGGGGCCTTGTCCCTCTGTGCCCAGTGTCTTGGCCTGCTCCTTCTGCTAGGTGTCGTTAATTGCTCTGCTTTGTCATCGTCATAGGTGTGTTTAAGTCACCCCGCCCTCACTGTTGCTCCTGCCTGGGTCACGGAAGCTAACCTCCTGTGTGTCAGACTCACGTTCCCGGGGGCCTGGCTCCTCTCCTCCCAGGCCTGGCCATGGAGGCTCATGGAGCACGGCCCCTCCTTGTCACAATTCCATCTGTCCCCACGTCCTCATCTCTGGCCGGGCCTTGTCTGTTTTTGCTTGCTTGGGTGAAGGGGCCATCTGTCCGTCTAGCCATCTGTCTTGTGTTATGAAAAGCTTGGACGTCGTTTCTTGAGGGCAAAGGGAGAAGGGGGCAGAGGAGGTGTTCTTAATGGTGGGACAGATCCACAAAGGCCAGGGTGCGGAATGAGGGGTGGGGCACCAGCTTGGATTGCAAGTGAAATCTCTTCCATGTCCTGAGTGACAGGGATTGCTCTGGAGGGAGCCCTCCTGTGTCTCTCCCTTACACCTCCCCTACAAAAGGAGGTGATGTGGGGCTTGGGTGGGACTTGGACAGGTAAGTGTTGGGTATCTGGTGATACGCTTTGGTGGGGAGCATCAGTCTGGGGACGCCCCTCCTAACAGTTACCCCTCTGAAGGAGCACATCTGATTTGTACCCCCCCAATGGTGTACCCTAGACTTCCACCAGGTTTCATACTAGTGACAGTCACTAAAGAGGCATCCTCTAAGAGCCACCCAGTCAAGCATACCTCTATAGCTAGCTGTCTTGGGGGTTATGCTCATGAAAGGCTCCCACATGGGGGGTTCCACCTTACAGTCACCTTCCAAAGGACACTTCATACAGTCACCTTGCTAGGGCCACTGGTGGCCTCCACCCCTTGCCTAGAATGGGAGGGGCAAGGGGCAGGGGGCTGTGTGCAGCTCGCCCTCTGCAGTTTCTCATGGTTTTTCTCTCCAAGGGTCTTCAAGGAGATCGAGGCCTCCAGGGCCTGACAGGTGATAAAGGGGAACCGGTAAGAAGAGGCAGTAGGGGCTGGAGAAGGATGGGGAGCCCCGAGGAGAGAGATTGGGCTCTGAGGGGTGGCACTGAGTAGAAGATGGAGAGTGGGTGTTTTGTTTTGAAACTCTCGGCCCCTCCACCCTGAGACCCTTGGTTGGGAGTCTTCATATCTTTCGGCTTCAAAGAAGCCTGATCTCATGTTCCCCGACTCCTCTGAGGACATAGCCCTGTCCCCTGTCCACCCCTCAGCCTGCCGTATCTGGTGTACCCCTCCCATCTCCACCCTCCTCAGCCTTCTGAGCCTATGGCTCAGCTCCCAGGGCTTTGGACAGCATGGGTCTTGCCACCCAGCCCAGTCTCAGCTGGTGCTCACGCTGAGGAACCTGGGCCTTGAGGGAATGGCCCAACGTGGTAACTGTCCTGGGGTGGGTGGGCACCTGCTAGTCAGCAGCTACGGATGTTCTGGATTTGGCCACCCTTTTGTCCAGGGAGGAGGGAATATAAATAGTGAGAGTCTGACCCATCACGTCTGCCTTTCTTCACAGGGTCCTCCAGGACAGCCTGGTTACCCAGGTGCCATGGGCCCTCCAGGACTACCTGTGAGTAAGGGGACTCTGGCTCTGGGGTTCCTGCAGGCTTGGGGTGGTGGTCAGGACAAGATTGGGCTCCTCTCTTCCTGGCAGCTCCCACCCCACTGTGGGCCCCTCTGGACTCCCAGGGCACACGCCCCAGATATGGCAGGGGCTGCCTCCTTAGGGGGGTTGGGAGAGTGGAGACGGCTGAGGGGCACCACCCCCGTCAGAGAGTCAGTGGGGTAGGATGTGTCCCTGATTTCCACTGAGAGTCCCAGTGGCAGGTGGGAGGCCAGGGCACTGCCTCTCCTCCCCTGACTGTCTTCCCTGGTGCCCTGGGCGTCTGGGTGCCAGTCTGGGTGCCAGTCTGGGTGCCAGCTGCAGTCTCCACCCCTTGCATTAGCACCAGCCAGGGAGGCCACAGGGCTAATTTTGCTCTCTCTCTGCAATTGTCAGGGCATCAAGGGGGAGCGAGGCTACGCCGGGCCAGCAGGAGAGAAGGGGGAGCCGGTGAGTGAGTCAGAGTCACAGCTCTCAGCTCGTGGGGGCAGGAGGAAAAGCTTCAAACAGAGCTGCCTCTAACAGCCACTGTGACCCCTGCCGCCCCTGCCCCTGAGTTGCTCCAGCTGCTCAGCATCTCAGTGCAGGCTGGTGGCTGCAGAGGCGGAGGCTGTGAGGAGAATCCCAGCAGGTAGCACGCAGACAGGCTGCTGGGGAAGGGCCTTGTCAGCTGGCAGAGCTTTCCCTTCTACTGCCACGGCAGGCTGGCCAGGGCCAGCCTAGAGAGCGCCAGGGCCTGGGCCACTACCCCCAGCACACCCACTCTTCCCAGAGCCCCCAAGCTGAGTGCTGGAGCTGGGGGCTGCTATCACATAAGGACCAGAGGCACAGGCAGTTAGTGAGCTAATAGTGGAGCCTGGCCAGAGCCCAAGTCTGGCTGGTGACAAACCTCAGATGTAGGATCAGCCTAACAGGGACCAGAGTCTTACCTTTCCTCGTCACGAATTTCCCCAAGGCCTCAATGGGATTCAGCAAGCTCTGTCACACTTTTATCAAATAACAAAGGTTTCTCATGGCCTGCTGGGTGTCAAGCTCCCTTGGGAGGATCTTGCCAAGAGTCGAGCAGGCAACTGTGATGCACAAACAGTCACACAGAAATGATGAGAGATAACAGCAAGGGGGCCCACGGGGCAAGGGAGAGGGCTGGAGCAGTGTGGAGATGGAGGACAGGGCAGGGCGGAGGAGGTGGCATTTGAACTGAGAGCTGAATGGAGGGAGGAGAGAGCACTCAGTCTGTACTGAGGAATTCCCCAGGGAGAGGCCACAGGTGAGGTGGGGCAGGGCAGGCACAGCATGAGGCCATCTAATGATGCTGTGAGGTTCCAGGAGACCTAGAAGGGTGGGGAATGTGGGCTTTCTGGGAAGGGGGTGGATAGCTGTTCCAAGGCCAGGGGTGGGAACATATACAGCACGTTCAGGGCACAGCAGTCCGACTGAATGAGGCACAACAGAAGAAGTGAGGGAAATGAAGCAAGAAAGGGTAGTTGGTGCTAGATTACAGCCCCTCAAAAGCCAGCACCTCATTCACCTGGCAGAGGGAAAGCAGGAGGGAAGGTTTTTGAGCAAGAGACTGACATAATCAGAACTGTGCTCGAGGAAGAGAAGGTGACAGCCACTTATCAGCTGGACTGGTAAGCCAGGAGGTGGCAGGACTAGGTAGCAAGCTGGTTCTATGGTTCAGGTGAGAGAGGGGAAGCCTGGAGGGACCAAGAAGAGTCTTGCCAGCTCAGCTGGCCTCCTGCTGAGTGTCCTCACCATCCCACCCCACCTCTTAGCTCTGCCAGAGTGATTGATTCTGCTCTGCTCCTTTTCCTTCTCAGGGCCCACCAGGATCTGAAGGCCTCCCAGGCTCCCCAGGTCCAGTGGTGAGTGAGAGGGGACAGGGAGATGTGGACATGGGGTTCCTTGGTTCTTCCCTGAGGCCTAAAGGCAGCAAGATTAGGTTCCAGCTGTATTCTTCTCTTGTGGCGACAGGGTCCCCAAGGAGAGCGAGGACCCCAAGGGAAATCCGGTGAGAAGGGTGACCAGGTGAGTGATGGCTGGGCCCTGGCTGGGCAGAGGCAGGGGAGGGGCGGATCTTCCTCTCTAATGGTCACCAGCCCTATCCCCCTCTCCCTCCCATCCTGGAACTGTAGCTTGGGCTGCAGACTTAGGCTGTTTTGCCTTGTTACTCTTTCCACCTGAGTGGCCAGGCAGAGAGAAGGTGGTACAGCATACTGTCCCTTGCTTTTTCCCCTAGGGCTTCCAAGGCCAGCCAGGTTTTCCAGGCCCGCCGGTGAGTGAGTGAGGACACAAGGCCACTCAGTCTCATGTTGGCTCACTGGGAGGGGATGGGTGGGGGAGGGGCCAGAAGAGGTGGGGAAGAGCAGCCTGGGTGGCCAGGCCTGATTCCTGGAGTCAACCTGGAGAGCTGGCCTCCTGGGTGGGCCCAGCTGGCCAGGCAGGCCTAATACTCCTGGGTGGTGTTTCTAGGAAGTCAAAATCTACAGTTAACAGTGAAACACACAAGTATAGGAGGAAGAGAGTACAGGTGCCTCCCACCCCCACCCACTTTCATTCCTTCCTGCTCCTTTGTTGACACAGGGTCCTCCTGGATTCCCAGGCAAAACTGGAGCACCTGGCCCACCTGGTCCCCAGGCAGAGAAGGTGAGCAGGACCCCATGCTGCCCAAAGTCACGGATCTGAGCCATGCAGCTCATATCCCCCTGTACCAGCCCCAGCATGGAGCCTTTGGTAAATCAGACTGTATCAAGGCTGGCCAGTGACTGCAGGATGGCACCAGGCTCATGGCAGGGTCCCTGCTGGCCTCTGAGCAGCCTAGGCTCCCATTTACTGGGAGAGGGGAGAAAGGTGGATGGTGGGGAGGGCAGATGGGTGGTAGAGGCAGATGACCAGCTTCTGGGTGGGGGCAGCAATGAGCATCGGATGGAGGGAAGCACGCTGAGACCTGGAACCCCAAAAGGACACCAACCCAGAGAGGGAGCAGGTCTCCCTCTCAGGCAGCCATGTTCAAGTTGTCCCCAGGGCCCAGAGAGGGCAGGGGTGGCTTATGACCTGGTGGCAAAGATGGGGGAGGGACAGGAGCCTGGCGAGCCCCATACCTGCTGCCCTGAGTTTGGCTGATGAACTTTGGAAAGGGAGCTCTTCCATGGTTGTGGGCTGCGTACCCGACTCAGCCCAGTCTCTGGCCTCCCCAAGTGATGTGCTAGGTGGTGGTATAAGAGGACCCAGGATGGACTGCTGAGCTTGGGGTGGGGGTGGGGGCTCGTGGGCAGCCTTTCCTCTGAAACCACACATTAACCTCTCACTGTGCAGGTGAGGAAAGACCCATCCAGGGACCCAAAAGCTGTGGTGGGGTGGGGGATCTAGGGCGAATACCATGTTAGCAGCCCAGCTGAGACTTCCCTCCCAGGCCCTCACTGCCTCCTGAGCCAGTGCCTGTCAGCCATGGTTGGAGGTTCTGGGCAGCTTCCTTTTCATCTTACTTCCCTGTGGAGGACCTAGGCAGCAGCCCTTTCTCTGCCCAGGCTGATCACTGCAGAGAATCCCAAACTGCCAGCGGTTCTCCTTTGGGACTCAGTAGAGCTGTCTTGACTGGAACTGTGCTGACCCCTCCTGGTGGCTGATAGCATTGCAGTGCCTCCCGCACTTTTTCTTCTTTAGCTTAGTCCTGGCCCCTCTCCCACACCCACAGCTACCCATCCAGGGCAGCCACCCTCTCCCCACTGCTGAGGAGAATTCAGCAGCCCTTCCCACTAAGCCTCTTGCCACCCCCTCCTTCTCCAGTAAACATTCCAGTTCACACGCCTGTTCTTATCAGTCTCCTGCTTTGAACTTTCAATGGTTCCCTGGTGTTTTCACATTTTATTTTGTAGTCCTGAGCATTTCATACACAAAAGATTATGTAAAACATCAATCCATAAAACAGATACAAGTGGACCCACTCTGGCTAAGATAAGTGTGAGGGTCCTGGAATTCCACCTTCTGGATCCCCACTTCATACTCCCAGCTTCAAGGTTCCCGTAGGAGCGCTCAGGGCTCTGAGGAGTACAGTTTGAAACCACTGGTCTATTTGATGAAGTTTTGCATGGCACTCAGGAACCTTCTCAATCAAGCTCCATCTCCTCCAGCCTCCTGCCCTGTCTAGCACATGGGCCCAGGAACCCTGGCTGTGTAGGCATGTGACCACTTCCAAAGCTTTATCCTGCTCCTAGGCTCCCCCTGACAGCCTGTCTCCTCTGCCTGTCCAATCCCAGACATCTGTCAGGGTCTTTCCCTGAGCCCTGGCTCTTATGAGCCCCTCCCTCCTCTGAGTCTCATGGTCCCTTCTTCACGAGGAGCACATAGACTGTTGCATTGCCCTGGGTGGTGCGCCTGTAGCTCTTGCTAGCCTGGGAGCTCCTGAAAGTAAGGGGCCTCTCCACTTTTTCCCCCTTGGGGCCTCAAAGCCCACACACATGGCCCGTTGTTAGGAGCCATGTGCTCCTGAGCACCTGCCTGGCCAGTTCCTGGGTCAATCCTGAGAAGACGCTGGTCTGAATGGTCCTGTCCCTTCCCACAGAGCAGTGAGGAAAGGGGTTACTTTGCAGATGAAGGCATCCTCTTGGGCAGACTGTGTGTGCAATATATCAGTTAGGCCAGGACAGAACTGGGACTAGGACCCAGACGTCCTGATTTCCAAGGGACCCCAGAGCCCTTGGCCCAGGGTTGTCTCCAGGGCTGGGGCAAGGCTATACCGACTTTGTTCGGGGTGCTGATTTCCAGGGCAGTGAAGGAATTCGAGGCCCAACAGGCTTGCCTGGGCCCACCGGGTCACCAGGACCCCCTGGGATTCAGGTGAGTGTGTGCCCTCTGAGTGTGGCAGGCCAGGCTGGCTGTGTGTGTGCACGTGTGGCGGGGGGGGGGAGAAGGGAGTTGGGTGAGTGGCGAAGACAGTGGAGGGCTGAGTGGGAGCTCCCTCCCGGGCCTTGGCACGGCGTGAGAGACGCCTTTCTCCTGCTGCAGGGACCTGCAGGGCTGGATGGCCTGGACGGGAAGGATGGCAAGCCTGGCATGAGGGTGAGATGGCAGCCAGGAGGGCAACCTCCTTCCTCTCCCCCCTTCTCCAAAGAACAGAGTCAAGCGAGCCCTGATGAAGGGAATTAAAGGACCCCTCATGTCCATGCTCCCCTTGAGCTGTCTCCTGCTGCACCCCATCTCCCTTTTGGTACCAGAGTCCCTTGGCTTCTCAGTCCCAGTGGCCTTAACCAGGTTAGCAGGGCCTCACCAAAGGTAGGACAATGACAAGGATGCATTTATATCAAGAAACTGGCAACTAAAGAAACCAGACTGTTACACAGGCTGCTGGATGTGGTGGTACATACCTCTAATCCCAGCCGTTCAGGAGGCTGAAGCAGGAGAATCATGACTTTGAAACCAACTGGGGCAACTTAGTGAGACCCAGACTCAAATAAAATAAAAAAGCTATAGCTCAATGGTGAAGTGCTTGCCTAGCATATAAGAGGCCCTGGAATAAATCCTCAGTACGTAAAAAAAATTAAATAAAGTGAGGGAGGGAATCAGGCTACAGATATGCAAAGTCTTGAGCAAGCCCTGGTTCCTTAGGTCAAGGTTTGCTGGGGAAACAGAAAGGATGAGGCCATAACAAAACTGAATATTAAGATCGCCCTCCTTCTGTACTCAAAAGAAGGAAAACTAAGGTCCAAATCGGGTGGTTATTCACTCAGGGTCTGCTGCCAGTCAGAGGCCAGGCCCAGCTCAGATTCCTCCCTCTGCCCTGTGACATTCCTGCCATCCTGGGATGTTGGGAGGGGCTGGGCTGGGGGAGGGAAGGGTGGAATGAGTGAGTTGGATTCAGGCTGGATAAAACTCCTGTCCTAATGCCCTCTTTCTTTCCTCAGGGAGACCCTGGTTCTCCTGGCCCCCCTGGACTCATGGGACCCCCAGTAAGTTGAGCCACAGGGGTAAGCTAAGCCACAGGAAGGAGCTGGGGGCTCTGAGGCCTCCAGGCTAAGCAGCTGCCATCTCTGCTTGGGTGGATGGGCAGCTCAAACCCTCCAGAGCCTCCTGCACCAAGCTATGACTTTGGATTGGTTCCATTTGTTTAACCTGAGGAAGGAGGGGGTGGGGCCCTCTGGCTGAGATGAGGGATCTGATAGCTTCCTGCTCTTTCTCCCAGGGTTTCAAAGGGAAAACAGGACATCCTGGCCTCCCAGGACCCAAGGTAAGGGTGTCTTCTGCCACGAGTGTTTTCTCTGGTATCCTCAGGCCTGACCCCAGGCAGACATGGAAGCCCAGCCTGGGTGGAGGTGCCTCATGACCTCTGGCTGAGATATCCCAGCATCTGAACCACCTAAGGGTTCTGGGGCCTGGCAGCCTGGGTCAGGGCTTTGACATCTACCAACAGGAGGGCACCAGGGGCCTCTGGCCAAAGCCAGAGCAGGTGGCAGGGCCCCTCTGATACAGGATTGACTCAGGGTGGTTTTACCAAGCTCAGGCTGCCCCTCTCTCTTATAGGGTGACTGTGGCAAACCAGGTCCCCCTGGCAGCAGTGGCCGGCCAGGTGCAGAGGTAAGGCCCAGTGATCTGTGCAAGCTGCCGTTAGGAGTCAGTGGGCTCAGCTGAGTCTGAAGCAGCTGCTTCTTTCCACTCACCAGCAAAGCAACTGCCTACTCTCCTCAGCCTTCTCCCACTTAGCAGCCACATAGTGCATGTCAGTCTGTGTGTCACCTCTTCCTTTTTCTGGCTCCTACAGGGTGAGCCTGGTGCCATGGGACCCCAGGGACGACAAGGCTCCCCTGGCCATATTGTGAGTAAACTATTTTCATCTCTGCATCTCAGAGAGTTAGGACTCTCTTGCAGTGGAGTTGGGTGGGGAAGCCAGTGATAGCCTGGAAGCACCAGCCCCAGCAGCTGCTCTGACCATGCAGAGATACATGAAACCAGCCCAGGCAACTTAGTGAGACCCAGCCTCAAATAAAATAAAAGGGGATGAAGCTCAGTGGTGAAGTGCTTTGAGCTCACCCAGTTCAGTGTTTCCCAAGCTTTCCACTCTCTTCTTTTCTGGGCACATGCAAGTTCACATGCCAGACAAAGGGCATTCAGTTAATCAACAAATAATTATTGAGCACCTGCTCCATACCAGGCATTGTTCCAAGCATTGGGGTGACAGCAGTGAGCATGAGAGACAAAGTCCCCTGATCTCATGGAGCTTTTACACAGCAAACAAATGAACTCAGAAACATCAGGCAGTGATGTGATGTCATGGGGGGGGCATCAGGAGGTGATTTTAGAGGAACCTTGGCTGGACAAGTGACATTCACCCTGAGGCCCGCATAAAAGGAGAAGATAACTATTGAGCAGTCTGAGACAAGAGTCTGAGGCAGGAGGGCACCTGACATAGAGCCAGGAGCCAAGGCATGAGGAGCTTGTGCGCTTGAAGAACCCCAAGGTCAGCATGGCTGGAGTATAGTTTGAAAAGGACACAAGGGCACAAGTGGGACTGGAAACCTGAGCTTAGAGAAGGGCCAAGGAGATGCTGGAGGTCCTCAAAGGGCTGGTCAGGAGGGTGGGGAGGGCAGGCACAGGGACGATTGGAATGTGCTTGGAGGTGGAGGACTTGCTAATGAGCTGGGGCAGAGGCAGGTACATGGTAGAGAAAGGAATCAAGAATGACGCCTGTGCCTGCATTTGGCTTGGGCAACTGGGTAAGTAGGTGGTGTGTTTACTGCAATAGGGCAACTTGGAGAGAACATTTATTAAGCAATAATGAATTTCACATCTACTTTACTCATCAGGAACACAGACTACTGCCAATTGGTGCCTTTGATCAGTGTGACGGCACCAAGCTGATAGGGCTCTGGAGAAAGCAAATGCACTGGTATTTTATTGCAGCCTGATCAGGGCTGGCAGTATAATTTTCAGGAGGCTTTTGGAAATGTTAAAAATAGCTCATGACCAAAAAAAGGAATTCTTAAATCCCCATCACCCTTTTTATGCATTTCAAGGGGTCCTGAGCCCCTGTGCTGGGGACCCCAGATCTAGCCCAGCCCCTCCTCACATTACAGATGAAAGGAATTGCACACCCTGAAATTGTGGTCGCAGTGGAGACTCCTTAGGGGCTAGGATGAGGGGGTGCAGGATTCCTCCTCTCACCCCTGTCTGTCCAGCCCAGGTCCCCTGCTGTGTGATGATCCCAGAGCTGTACATTTCCACCCAGGAGTCTCAGATGAGTAGAACAGAGGTCATGGCTTCTTGAACTTTCCATCTGGGAGTATGGAGGAAAGTGCTCTGAGAGAGCACTGAGTGCCCTGAGGTTCAGAGACAGTGTCACTGTCCAGGGAGGTAGCATTTGCGCTGTGCCTCGGGGCAAGGATGTGGGCCAGCAGAGAAAGGGCAGTCCTGGCACTGGCAGGAGGGAGCATTCCTGGGGGCTGGAGAACCACCGCACCCCAGAACCAGAGTTGGTGAGGCACCAGGAGACGGGATGGAACCTGAGTGCCAGCTACAGAGCTTCTCTGAGTGGATGTTATGGCTGGTGCTGAGTCCCTGCCCCTCCCCACTGCTACACAGACCCTGGTTCCTGGTATCCCACCTCTGCAGAGCAGCAGGAAGTGGGCTTGGTCATCTGTAGGGAATGAAGGGGTCTTAGAAGACACTGGGCCAGTAGTTGGTTGTCTCAGGCCTTTTCCCTCTGCGCTTGGCCTCTGCCTGTGGCTCCCACACTTCCCTCACACAGCCCCAGGTGCACCATTCAGTGGACATTAGTCCGGAGGGTCCTGTGAGCACAGGTCTCCCAGGCTTCTGCTGTGGACGCAAATTTTCTGGCAGAAGCTCAAGTGCAAGACCAGAAAGGAAGGAAGGGTTTTGGGAAGAGAAGGCAGTTGGTGGAGTTTTGGGCCTGCTCCAGCTGCCAGCCCTCTTTCCCCAGGGGCTTATTATTAGAGCCTGTTTCCACCCCACTGACTCTCTGCTCTGTAGGGGCCTCCAGGGCCTCCAGGCCAGCCTGGTCCAGCTGGGATCTCTGCAGTGGTGAGTGACACTTCCCCCTCCTGGTCCCTCCCAGGAGCGTTGCCCTGCTCTGCAGTGGGCTCCTTCTGGGGGAAGACAGAGGGATGGAGAATAGCTGGTCTCCACCTCCTTCTTTCTCTGATGCCAACCTCACTGACTCCAATGATTCTCCTTCTGGAATGTGGCAAAGGATGCCAGTGAGGGTTGGAGGCCTTTCTAAGACCCTGCTGCAAGTTCAGGCGGTGTTCCCTCCTCCTGTGGGGCCTGGGAGGTGGGGCACCCGGTCCCTGGGACATGATGGAGTGTCTACGTCTGGCTTCATGGAATCCAATTCTTCCCCCACCTCACCAGCCTTCCTATTCCCTAGGGCCTAAAAGGAGACCGAGGAGCTTCTGGGGAAAGGGGCCCAGCAGGTATTCCAGGCCAGCCCGGCCCACCTGGACACCCTGGCCCCCCGGTAAGATCCCACCACCTACAGCACAGCCTGGGTGAAAGGGTCAGCTAGCTTTGCCAACTGGGCACAGCACTGTGGTCTCCAGGGAAGGAGAGAGTGGAATTAGTAGGGCAGGATGGCAGCATGGGGCCTGCACCTGAGGATCAATGGTATTAGAGAGGCAGACCCTGCAACCCAGTGCCATGCCAGTTGCATGCAAGGTCACTGCCTCTGCCAGTGCACTATAAACCTTATGCAGATCCCTCTGCTAAACGCCAAACAGAGGAGAATCAGGCCCTGTTCTGCCCTGCCCTGACCCAAGAGAGCTTGTCAGTAACCACACAAAGTCTGAAAATGTCAGGAAACCAGCAATGTGGTGTTATTGCTATAACTTCCTGAGCTCCTTAGAAACCAGAATTTGGTCTCAGCCCAGGTTTAGCACTAATAGCAATGTTGTCTTGGCCACTAACCACGTGTTGAATGATGAAGTAGGTGCTTGATGTGCATTTTGTCTTTGTACCTCAACCCCTTTTAGTAGATTGGATTGTCCCCAATTTAGATGAGGAAACCAAGGCTCAGCAAGTCTGAGTTGCTCAGAGCTAGTAAGTGGAAGAGACCCCTAGCCTGCTTGGTTCCACAACTTGGCTGCTTAGCCAGTCTGCCAAACTGCCTCTTTCAAAAAGGTTTGGGCAGGTGAACCACATCAGGTGGAACTGATTGCTGGCCTCAGGAAGGAAAAGTCTCTGGGGTAAGCCCAGGCAGGGGCCCCAGGTTTGTCTAGCTCCATCAGGATGCTTTCCACCAAGCAGACTCTTTTGGGGAGAGGAGCAGTGGCCCTAGGGCTGGTGGCTTGGGATGGGCTGAATGATTCCAGTTGGTATCAGTGTGGTCACTCAGCCCATGTACCATGAAGGCCTACGGCCACCACTCCTACTTGCTCTGACAGCTGCTAAGTGCCCCAGACAGGTTCTTCCTATCCTGACCAGGGAGGTGGCATTTGAGCTGTGCTCAGAGCAAGGATGTGGGCCATCAAGAGAAAGGGCCTCAGGAGCCTCCAGGGCCCCTAAAAGAATCTTCCACTTGCCATGCAGTCACAGAGTCCTCTTCCCCAGCAGCCCTCCAGAAGGGGGCTGGGCTGGAAGGTAGCCTCTCCTGTCCTGTAGAGAAATCTGGCTCAAGTACATCCCAGCAAATCTTACTGAGAACAGGGGCTCACGGTTCCTGTGTTCCTTCAGCAAACATATACTCATGGCCAGAGTTGTGCAAGGTGCCGGGATCCCAAGCAAAGAGGCCCAGTGTCTTTCCCTTGCAGAACTCAGGAGAGCTGTCAGTATGGGCTCAGGGAGTTGCAGTATGGGTTGTCTGAGGGTGAGGGCTGTAGGATCAGGGTGTCCTGGTAGAACAGGGGGCTGGACAGCTTGGTGGGTGACGTATGTGAGGCCAAGCTGAACATAGCTCATCATATCTCCCTTTCCCTTTATCCCCAGGGTGAACCTGGTACAGATGGTGCCACTGGCAAAGAGGTACTGTAGTTTGGTCTCCTTTTCCCTTGGGGGTAACTCTTAGTCCTTGCCTTGCCCTGGCCCCTCTGTATTCATTCAGGAAGCACTCCTGGGTGCACAGATGATCTTGGCAGGATCTATATCCATAGCTCCCATATCTGTGAATGCAACCAACATTAAATTGAAAATAATCAGAAAAAAATTGTATCTGTATTGAACATATACAGACTTTTTTCTTGTCATCATTCCCTAAACTATACAGTAACATAACTATTTATATAGCATTTACATTGTATTAGGCAATATATACAATCTAGTGATGTCTTAAAGTATACAGGAGGATGTGCATAGCTTATGTGCAAATACTATACCATTTTAAACAAGGGACTTAAGCACCCACAGATTTGGGGTTCCAGGGGAGTCCTGTCTCCTGTGGATACTGAAGGAAGACTGTGTATAGGAAACTGGTCATTCTTACCGCTCCAAGGAAAGGAACTGGAGACTAGTGCACAAGGATAGCAGCAAGACTTGTTTCATACATTTTTCCCCCCACTCTATACCTGGCCAAAAAGAGAGAGTAATGAGAACAAACTCCAAACAAACATTCCCTGGACACCAACTCTTGCCAGACCCTCCACTATTCTAGACTAGCCTCTTATTCTGACTTCTTTTCATCTGTGATGAGGGACTCGGCCAACATGATCAAAGAAGACCATGCCTCAGGGGATGTCATTCTCCCTTCCAGCTGTCACCTTTGTTGGCAAGGAGGCTGTCATTCTTTCTCACTCAGCCCAGTTGGGTACAGTACAGGGGCCTAGGGCTAAGGGAGGTGGTCTTTTCACGGTACCTACCTCCCCAAAAGCCTTAGAGATGCTGCCCAGATTTGACTCCTGACTTTTACTTCCTTCTAGGGACTCCCTGGAAAACAGGGACTGTCTGGATTTCCTGGTCCAAAGGTGAGTTGAGAACTGGCTGGGTTGGAGAGGAGGTACTCATGAATGGAGCACACCCAGCTCCAAGAGAGGATATTAGCTCAAGGAGACATGGGATGGCCAGTAGGCGGGAAAAAGGGGGAGTTTGGAGCAACCTCTGAATAGCTCTCACCTGGGCCATTCCAGGGTTTTTAACTCTGCTTACAGAATGGAAATCTTTGCTCACATTCCAGGCTCTCTGTCCTGGCCTTGGGGAAACAGGGGTCCCTGAACAGTGGTCTCCCTGCAGTCCAATCATATTGACACTAAAGTAGGGCAAGTTTCACAGAAGACTGGACACAGTGGTGTGGCATCTCTGAGGAAGGGAGCACCCAACTCTGCCTGGGGGTGAGGGAGGGAGACGGCATAAAGAACAGGAACAGTTGGGTATAGTGGCCCACTCCTGCAATCTCAGGACTCTGGAAGGCTGAGGCAGGAAGTTTGCTAGTCTGAACCCAGCCTGGACAACTTAGCAAGACCATGTCTCAAAATAAAAAAATAAAAGGGCTAGGATATATCTCAGTACAAAGGCCGTGAGTTCAAACCCCAATACTACAAAACACAAAAACAAGAGCACTTCAACCAAAGAGGAGGAGTTTGCTGGATAGAGATGAGGGGCAGACCTTCTGGGTGGGGAGGACTCAGACAGCATGGGAGAATCCGAATTATGGCAGTGAGAGTGGTTGGCTGGAGGTGGAGGCAGGGAGATGAGGCTGAGGAGGTGATGACCAGGACCATGTCGTGAATGGACCTGCACGCCTGGCCAAGGAATTGGGCCTTCATTCTTAGGGCATATGGGAACCACCAGATTTCTAACAGGGAGTGGCACTGAAACCTGTCTCCTATGCGTCCTGCTCTGCTGGCAGCGAGGCTGGGTGGCCTATGGCACAAGGGCCACAGTTCAGAGAGAGATGCTGGAGACCTGGTGGACCACAGAGAAGAAGGGGTCGACCACTGAGACACCGTGACATGAACTTGACGGCCTTTGGTGATGCTGGATTGTGACTTCTTGTCTTTGTAGGGTGATCCAGGACCTACAGGACAGAAGGGCCAGGCAGGAGAGAAGGGGAGATCTGGCATGCCAGGAGGGCCCGGAAAGAGTGGCTCCATGGGGCCTGTTGGGCCACCAGGTCCTGCAGGAGAGAGAGGCCACCCTGGGTCTCCAGGGCCTGCAGGAAGCCCCGGATTGCCTGGTGTGCCCGGCTCCATGGTAAGAGGAGGCTGGCAGCCATGAGCACGTGGGCTGTAATATGGGTCATTTTAGAAGCTACTGATGACATTCTGCAGAAAAAAGCATGACTCTCATATAGGTGACTCTTAGCTGTCTGGGGAGGTGGGGATTACAGGATCCTCTCCCCAAAAACTGTTCTTCAGCATGAAGTGGTTTGTACCATTTGGAGGTGGGTAGGACTTTGGAACAAGAATTTGAAGGAGGCTCCTGGGACCCCTGGCCTCCTCCCCATCCGTTATTTCCATAAAGTCTGTGCCCAGGGGAAAGCACCAAGCTTGGAAGTATAATTGAGGCAGGTTTTCTTCTCTTTCCTCAGGGAGACATGGTGAATTATGATGAAATCAAGAGGTTCATCAGACAAGAGATCATTAAAATGTTTGATGGTAATTGGCAGCCGGCTGGGTGGCAGTGGGCGCTTCATTCCCTTCCCAGCTACTTCTCTACCCAGGCCCAGCCTCCTTTGCCTTAAAACTTCAGTGTCCTCCCCCTCCCACCCCACATTTACAGGCTGGGGGAGGTGACAAGCATACGTTCAATCATCCATCAACCCTTCCTTGTCACCTGCTCTGTTCAGAGATAAAATGATTCCCTCCTGCCCTCCTGAGTAAAGGAGGCTGACAATAAAATTGATCTTACCTGAGCCTGCATGGAGTGAGCTCTAAGCAAAGGGCCAAGCAGCAGCTAGAAGATGGCTGCTGCTGGGATTTGTTTTAAGCTTTTCTTTTTTCCCCTGCTTATTTGCTCATCCAGCGTTGGTGTGCTGGGACCTGGGGAAATGTGGGCCCTGTCCTAGAGTGGCTGGGCATCCTGCTTGGGAAGGAGACCTTGTGTGCCAAGCAGTGCAGTCTGGACTGCATTCCAAAGCCAGTGGCAGGGCAATGAAGGATGTTAAAGAAGAGAGATGCCACAATAAGACCTGTGCTTCCAAAAGCTCTCCAGGGAAAGCCAGGTGGAGGCCAGAGTGTGGGACAGCTCTTAGGAGATCAGCCTCCGTGTCCCTTGTCCAGATGTCCTTCTGAAGAAAGACTGTTCGTGCTGGTGACTACTGCAGCATCTGTAGTCATTCTGAGTCCCTGGGGCACCTTGTGAACTGTCCTGGTCCTTTCTTACAGATAGGATGGCTTACTACACTTCCAGGATGCAGTTCCCTGTGGAGATGGCTGCGGCTCCAGGCCGGCCAGGGCCCCCAGGGAAGGAGGGTGCTCCGGGCCGGCCAGGCGCTCCAGGATCACCTGGGCTCCCTGGTCAGATTGGCAGAGAAGGACGGCAGGGCTTGCCAGGAATGAGAGGTAGTGCCTTCTTGCTCCCACGGGGCATATGCACCTCTTAGGGGCTGGCCTGAGCATTATGTGAGGTTGGTTGTGAATATGGCATTTGTGTATGTGTCTGTGTGTATGTGTCTGTCATTTTTCTACTTGGGGATAGGATTTCTTATTTTCTTTCTTTTGTCTCAGGATTGCCTGGAACCAAAGGTGAAAAGGGGGACATTGGTGTTGGCATTGCAGGAGAAAATGGTCTCCCTGGCCCCCCAGGTAGGAAAACTACGTATGAGACCCTGATTCCAGATCAGCAGCAACTACCTGTCTTTATGTTCCTTCGATGTCATAGTTGCATAGAATTCCAAATAACTACAGTATAGGCCAATCAACTCTGTTACAGCAATCAAGGCAGTCTGCTAGGGCTTGGGGGCAGTGGTGGGGGAGATGCATTATTCACCCTTAGTCCTCAGCTGGGCTGGCATGATGTAGTGGGAGAGAGCTGCATGTGGTTGGGGCCATTAACCTGAGTTCAAGTTCCGCTTAGCATCTTCTTGGCTGTGGAGTCTTGAAGAGGTCACTTGATGTGTGACTATATGTACCTTAAAGAGGATGGCTAGAGCCTGATGGCCTGGCTCTGAGGCCCAGCTTCACTACTTACCTGATGCACAACCTCTGTGAACCTGTTTGATCATCCTCAAAATTAGATAGTAGTTCTTTTCTCAGGCAATTGTGTAGATTCAATGACGAAGGCATAAAAAGTATGCAGCCCTATGCTGTGACACACAGAAGCTGTCGACAAAACCAGCCAGCAGTATGATCATCATTGTTAGATCAGTGTGAGGATCAGATCCAGTCTTCATGAAAATATGTTGTAACTTGACAAATAAACACCAAATGTAAAGTATCATTTACCACAACCATTGTTTCTTCTTTTCTTATTATCTGGGTCTCCTGATATGTCCTTTGTGACTCTTTCCTCCCTAGGTCCTCAAGGGCCTCCTGGATATGGCAAGATGGGTACAACAGGGCCAATGGGCCAGCAAGGCATTCCTGGCATCCCTGGTCCCCCCGGCCCTGCAGGCCAGCCAGGGAAGGCTGGGCACTGCAACCCCTCAGACTGCTTTGGGGCCATGCCAATGGAGGAGCAGTACCCACCCATGAAAAACACGAAGGGGCCTTTTGGCTGAAATGACCACTTCCCGTGAGATGAAGGACTCCGTTTGGAATAAATGACCAAAGATTACAGGACTCTGTGATGGGTTATGAATGTTTGTGTTGTTAATGTTGTTGTTTTTGTTGTTGTTGTTTTTAATTGCTGTTAATATTTTTTTTAACAATAAAGAAAGAAAACCATCTGCAATCCAACTTCCAGTGGCGTTCCCCTGGTGCTGCAGCCACATCTCCCTGGCATCTTACTTTTCCCATTCAATCCCAGAGTCTCAGATTGGCCCTTCATTGTCTGCAGTCAGCCAGTAGAGTTGTGGGGTGCTGCTGTATAGGATGCCCCCAGCCCAGCTTACCTCTTCAGATGTTTCTGATTCATCTTTCGGTTTTCTGGACCTGTTTTCTGTTCTCCAAGGCACCACTGTCACAAGTTAGGGGAGGAGTATCACTCAGCCTCTCCTTTCAAACAAACCAAAAGCAGTTTTGAACACCCCCACTTGCAGCTCCCAGTATTTGGTACCCCACCCACCCTCTGTCCACCCTTCTTCACTTTCTATGACCCAAAGCCAATTCAGCTGGCACCTTGGGAGATGACACCCAGTGCTAGGGTGTGTTCACCCGCCTGGAAGTCCCTTCAAGCATGCAGGCTCTTCTTGATGCTCCAGTAATTCTGTAATTAGAAAACTTGTGCAAACAGGAGGGAAGATAGGCTCCAGCTCCTGCCTAGGCAACCAGGGAATGCTTCTCTGGGAAATGAGATGGAACCTCCTGCCTGCACCAATGTATGACTCTCTTACTTGCTCTCCAGCTTCAGGCAGTGCCTGGCTGGACTTCAAATGACATTTTTCATTACTCAAATGTGCATGATGCTTTTCCTGTACACCTTAACCTAGGCCTTTGGGAAAACAGCTAGGTTGGATCAGTGAGAAGGGGTCGTAGGCAGCCACAATCAGATCTAAGTTTATGGTCCTCCAAGTCCACTGGAGGCTTTGTGATATCTCTCCCTCTCTCTCCCTCCCTCTCTCCCTCCCCCTCTCTCTCTCTCTCTCTCCATATGTAAAAGGGATAGAAAGAAAAGAGAAAAGGATAGTGAATTGAACCTTATAGAAACATTCCATCTCAACCTACTTCCTTCTGTACTTTTCAGATCTCTTATCCTGATGAGCTGGCTGCTCTGTAAGAAAGGAACAGGGCACATCCAGGGAGAGTTCCAGAGACTTTTACGGGCCCTCGCTTTCTGGAAGGCTTATCCAAGTTGGATAAACTTCAAAGGGATCACAGAACAGGCTCAGAAATGTACTCAAAGTCTAGATGTGTATCCAAACTGCCTGAAGCCTTCATGCTGGCTGTCAAACCTCTCCAAAGCTGGCATTTCCAGCATGTTTCTGGGTTTTCTCTTCTCTGATTGAGCCCCCAAATTCCAGGAGACTGACCTACGGACAGCTTCTCAGAACCTTTGCCATATGTTTTTCCAGCCAGGGACAGAGGTGTGCAGGTGGTCAGAGGAATGAAGTCAGGGAAACTCCTGAGCCCACCTGCGTGCCTCACATGCTGCTTTTAGATACAGGAAGAGTCAGCTCTCACCAGCAATTTTCAGTTAACCCTGGTTCTAACCAAAAACATAAAAAACCAAATACAGCATCTTTACATTGAAGTAGCATCCAGGTTTTTTGGACAGTGGATGAGGACAGATGTTAAAGCACTCCCATTGGAAGACCAGCTCCCACTCAGCCCAGTCTGTGAAGCAAACTGATGACAGGCCTCATGATTGGGAGCAGGAGAATAGAAGAAGAAGCACAAGCCAGCTGTTGAATTAGGCAGGTTGGCTCCAAAGGCCAGAGGGGAAAATTGTCATGAGGAAATATCAAACTCAGTCCCTTTGAGGGTCAGCAGGGAATTGATCCTTGTAAATGATATTTACTCCTTTACTTTTCTTCCTGAGCCAAATTCAAGCCACTCTTTGGGAATTCTATGACAGGCTAGGCTTAAGCTTCCATGATCTGAGTGCTTTCCTCCCTGGAGTTTGAAATTGCTGTTATTTTCTTGGACCATGAAGAACCAGATGGGAAGCTGAATTTTATAGTCCCTTCTTCTGTGGTCAGCAAAAAAATCTGTGGATCTTGCTCATCAGTTCAGGAGCTGGGTGAGCTGAAGAGAAAAGCAGGAGGGGTCCATGCCTTCCACTTCTCTTCGGCAGCTTTTTTCACATTCCCACCCTGTTATTCTTCCATCTTTATTTCTTAAATCTAATCCAGGCTTTTAAGGCAACACAGAGATCGTTCAGATTGACAAAGTCTAACTAGATGAGTCCATTTCCTCTTCCTACTTTGTGCCAGGAACTGTACTAGGCTCTGGGGAATCCTGAGGCAAACTAGATGGATATGGCCCCTGCTCCCACACAGTTAAGCAATTACAATAAAGTAGGATGATGGGGCAATACCAGGTGCCAGGGATGTGCATCACTGGGAGCACCTAAAGGTGTCTAGAGAGACAGTGATTGATCCAGGCAGAAGGAACAGCATGTGCCAGGTTCAGAGATGATTGAGCTCAGCAGATTGTGATGGGACAGAGGGCAGTATGGTTGGATTGCTGAGCACGAGCGGGGAAGGCACAGTGGGGAGCCACTGATGGGTTTTACACAAAGGTACGTTGAGTCTGGTTTACTTAATGGGGAGTTTGCTGATGGCAATGTGAAGAATGACTGGGGGTGTCCTCAATTTGAGAATCATTTTCTCTGTAAGATGGATGAAAGGCTGATGCATATTTATCCTGCAGAGAAAAATCCCACATTTGATGCCTTCTAGAACTTAAATCTTCTTTTTTGTCATATGTTCTCTGTTACCACAATGCAACAGAATCTAACAATATTCTTACTTCACATGCAGTCAGTCTGTTAACCCCTTATGAGAGTCCATCTTTTTGTTGCTGTCCTGAATAGTTTATAGGAATAGACTGCATCAATGTGCTCTCCCTATGATCCCATAATGGAAGGGGAGTGTGGCCAAATTCCCAGGCCTGCTGTTCTCATTTTTTTGTTGGTTCTGTGAAGAGCTGCAAATCACTCTCCAATTTATAAAATCCAACTGGAATTTAAATTTCAGAACTGGTTCTAAATGGGATCAAAGAGAATTAATTCCATAATAATTAGGGAGGTGTTGGCATTCCTTTTCATTAAGCCACACAGGAGCCTGGCGCTCAGCCGGGAAGCTTTGGGGAGGATGTGTCTTTAGGGGAGGCAATATTTTCCAGTGGCCAGGCCTTCCATTACTGAGATCTGCTTCACCTCTGATGGGTCAGCCACAGGGCTCCCATGAACACAGGTGCTCTGTGCTTTATAAAGGGCTGGAATCTAGGTTTTCCTCTTTGGCTAAAACTGAAACAATAATAGGAATGTCCCCACCCACCTCTGTCTGCGGAAGGTAGTTGAGGTTTGGAAAATGAATTGTTTTTCAGCCTTTGGAAGATTCTGAGTTTTCTTTCATCTAGACCCTTCCAAAATAAACACACCTGGGCCTGCTGTGGGTCCTCTGAGGCATAGCCCTGGATGTTGGCTTTGGTTGGTGTCTGGCTGCCTGATTTGGATGCCTCTGCCTCCCAAATAACATAGACCTCCAACAGAAAGCTCTCTTAAGTCTTTAGCTTGGCAACAGGGGTGGGAGTGGGTGCAAAGAATTCTTATAGGCAGTGAAAACTCAACACCTAGAATAGAGCCTGGCAAGCCTTGAGAGTAGGCTAATGTGTTTGTGGAATAAATGAATGTGAGTCACACGACCTCAGTTAGCAAGCCAGGTGTCACTATTCTCTCTCTGGACTAACATCCCCTTGACCTTCAGCCCTGCCCACGCTTCAGAACTTCCTTTCTGAGATTTTTGCAACTTGGTCCCACCAATATTTTTTGGACTGCGGGGTCGTGAAGGTAAAGAAGACCTGAGACCTACTAGTAAGTACTGAGTGGTTAAAACAGTGTGAGCTTGGGTTCAAATCCTGAATTCTCCCTTTATCCTTTTGATATTAAGGAAGTCACTTAGCTTCTCTGAGCCTCAGCTCCTCAGTATAAGTGAGTAATAGTATTTATTTCAAAAGACCATGGTGAAAATTAAACAACACAATACTTAGCACAATGTCTGTCACCAAGTAAATACTCAATACATCAGGGCTGGGGATTTAGCTCAGTGGTTCCGCCGCCTGCCTCGCAAGCGCAAGGACTGGAGTTCGATCCCCGGTACCAAAAATAAATAAATAAATGTTCAATACATGATGATAATAATAACCACTAACATTTATTCAATTCATGACAGGTCCTATTCTGGGTACTGAGGGTAGAGAAGTGAATAAGAATCCTATAATACCCATGTAAACCTTACAAAGTGCATGCAAATCTTGAAAGAGGGCAATTCAAATAGTAATGACTACTATGAAAAATAAGATACAGTGGTATGATAGATGACTAGAACGTACATGGGGTAGCAATGTACTTTTGATGAGATGAATTTCCTCACCTCCCCAAGAGGTGGTATGTCAACTAAAACCTGGATGATAAGGAGGAGCCAACCAGTGGAAAGCCAAGGGAATAGTATTCTAGACAGAGGAAAGAAGAAATCCAAAGACTTGGAGTCAGGAATGAGCTCAGTATGTTCCAAGGGTGGTGATCAGGCCAGTGTGGCAGGGATGAACTGAAGAAGACAGCAATGGTTGGCAGTGAAGCTGGTGACACAGGCAGAGTCTAGGTCATGTAGGGCCATGAAAATCATAAAGATGGTTTAGATTTTATTATTACCATGATGGAAAGCTCTTGGAGGAGTTTAAGCCAACAAATGACATTATCTGATTCACATTTTAAGATAATCACCCTGGCTGCCCTATGGAAAAAGAAGTGTGGGGAAAAGAGCTGAAAGTAGAGACACTGGTCAGGAGACTATTGCAGTGATCTAGGCTATAGATGATGGTGTCTTGGACCAGATAATACAGACTGGAAGAAAAGAATAGATGCAGGTATATTTTTGAACTAAAGCAAATGGAGGTGAGGGAATGAGTAGAGAAACAGTCACCTAAGAAAGATACTAGGCTTTTGGCCTGAGAGATTGGGTTTTCTAAAATGGAGAAAGATGAGTTTAGGGGAAATATGAAAGAGAACTCTTATACAAGGCCAGCTGGAATATGGCACAGTGACAGTACCACATACAAAAGGAGACTGGCAAGAGCGGATAACTCGAGCTGGATGCAATGTGGGAAAGTTGGGGTAAGGATGGGATTGGAATTGAGGCTTAGAGGACTGGAGACAGGAGTGGGGCCTGCTAGTCCAGGTGAGAGGAGTGGTTTGACAATAGATTTAGGCATAAACAGGTACAGTAAGCTTATTTATCTTTTTCTTTCCTTCATTTATATATATATTTTAGACAAGCCCTCACTAAGTTGCCCAGACTGATCTCAAATTTGCAATCCTCTTGCCTCAGTCTTCCAATCAGCTGAGATCACAGGCTCACAGGCTCACAGGCATCCACCACTACATCTAGGAAGCTCATTTTCACATTTACATATTTGGGGCTGGGGATTTAGCTCAGTAGCACTGTGCTGGCCTCACAAGCACAAGGTCCTGAGTGACATCCTCAGTACTGGAAAAAAAAAAATTACGTATTTGTCTCTGACAATTGAGGAAACTGACTTAGTTAAGATAACTTGCCCTAGATCATATAGTTAGGAAGTAATAAAATCAATATCCTCACACCAAAGTAAGAGTGCTGAATTGTGGAACTGATCATAGGAGTACAGAGTGGGACATAGACTGGTGCTGTGAGAAAGATTTAAAAAGTGAGGTTGGGCCAGATTGTGAAGGACCTGGGATGCCAGGTTGGAGACTGGCCTTATTTTGCAGGTGTAAAGGGGCATGCGTTGCAGGCGGTCCAAAGGGGAATCATCACAATCAACACTGTGATTTTGTAAAGTGCTAGATTCGTAACCCTAAATTATTCATTTATCTACTTATAAAGTGCAGTGTCTGCATTTTAGGTACTGGGTATAACGACAGACAAACTTGACACAATCCTGGAAGAATATAATAAATTAATCGAATAAGCACGCCAACAATACAGTACTGTGTAGGCCTTGAACCCCGAGAGGCAAGATTTAATGTTGAGGTCTCTTGGGAACCAAGAGCTGACCTACTACGGGGACCAATCTAGACTTTACCGCTGAGACCTAAGCACTGAAACCAGTTCTAGGCCACGTTTTGTTGCTAACTCATTGTGAATTAGAACAAGTAACTCACTGCCTTTCTGGGCCTCAATTTCCCCATTTATGAAGAAAGAGGCACTAGATCATCTAATTTTCCTCCTACTCTGTCCATATGGATTTTTTTCCAAAGACCACAGATCTGTATCCCACCTCAAGGCCACTAACATGCCATTAGAGAGGCATACTCTTTTCTAGGATGCAAGGGTTAGTTCCTCGTAGTCATGGCAACCGCCTGGGCACTCCTTAAGCGGAAACTTGGAGTGACGACAGTTATACGCCAATATTATGCGTCTCATTTGCCAAATTACAATATGGCCGCCGCAGCGACAACTGACCCAGTTATTTCACTAAATATCTCGGCCTGAGCAGCCCTGAAACCTACCCTAGGTCAGAAAATGGAGAGATAAGTGCTCCAATACAACCATCAAGACTTCCGGACAACTGCACCCTGCCCTTACGCCTCTGATCTGTCCGGTAGGCACCTGGCCACCTCTCTGTAGCGTCACTTCCGCCGGCCGACTTTGGCAAGGATTGACAGTTTGTTCGTCCAGTCAGAAGCAAGCCCGCCTCTAGGCCCCGAGAGGGGCAGCTTTGAGGGCAGAAAGCTCCGCCTTTCGCCGACGTGTGACGTCAGAGTCGCCATGGCAAGTTATCCGTACGGGCAGGTGAGTGTGTGAGGGGCCCGCGGATCCAGGTAGGGGGCGTGCCAAGCCCAAGCTGGGTTCACCCGGCTCTTCTTCCTCCCGGCTTTCTCCGCTCAGTTTACACTTCGAGATTCGCTTCAGTGAGGCCTCACGCCGGAGAGAAGGGAAAGGGGACTGCTGGTGGCACCAGGCTCACGTCACTCAGGACCACGCGTCCGTGAAGTAGTGTCGGGCCCTTTGACGTCTCGAACCCGAGGATTTGGGAACTTGAACCCCGCAGACCCAGGCGGGCCCGGGTCTGAATTCCACACCCTCCTAAAACTATAGGCGTCATGGGCGGGGTGATCAAAGCTGACAAGACCTTTAGAGCTCTGGTTCCACCCATGACATTTAGGACGTCCGATAAAAAACACAGACTTTCTGACCACCCTACACTGCATCGCAATAGTCAGGAGAATCCGTGGTTGTAGCAGGCTTCACAAGTGACCTGGTGTGATCACTGATATAGTCCAACGTCTGTTTCACGTGAAGGAAACGTGAAATCCAGAGAAGACACAGAATTTATCTGAAGTAGTTAAGTAGTAGAGCCAAGATCAGAACCTGGGCTGTCTGCAAATGCCTCTTCCTCACTTGCCAGTCCATCCCGAACCAGCTGAGAACCACAGCAATGTGGTTCTTTTTTGAGTGACAGAAGGCTAGGGTGAAGTGCAGTTTAGAGCCAGAAGTAGATTCATAT